ACCTAAAAGCTGTGATAAGAACACCTTTCCACGGTCACTCAGAAGTACACGAGGAGCACCATGACGTAGTATTATGGCCTGAAGGACGAAGTCAGCAACTTCCGATGCTGAACCAGTAGCTACTGAAGTTGTCTCGGCATAGCGTGTCATATGGTCGACGGCGGTGACTATCCATCTATTTCCAGCACCAGTAACAGGAAGGGGTCCATAAAGATCGACACCGACGACCTCGAAAGGTGTTGTAGGGCACGTCATTGGCTGTAACTGACCAGCCGGGGGAGATGTCGGAAGTTTGCGAAGTTGGCATGGAGAGCAGGAACCCACGTACTTTGCTACGGTGGTAGAAATCCCAGGCCAATAAAAGCGGCTTCGAATGCGGTCGTTGGTTTTGTGAAAGCCTAGGTGGCCAGCAGTCAAATCGTCATGAAAGGCGTTAAGTACATGATGTTGAAGAGCGCGTGGCAGAACAGGTACCCAGCGTTGGCCGTCAGGATGATATATGTGACGATACAGCACACCGTCCTGAAACTTGAAGTGCTCGAGTTGTCGACGAAGGCGCGCATTGGGTGGACGCGTAGCTCCTGAAAGGTGGTCTATAATGCGCCGACAATACGGGTCAGCCTGCTGGCGAGAACTGAAGGGTTGTTCATTGTCGATTGGCGGTTGGTACAGCGAGGCGAGCAAGGCAACAGAAGTGGGAGTCACGTCCGCACTGGTGTCGTTGGAAGTGGCAGCTGGAGTGTCGAACGACGCCGTAGGTAGTGGGCAACGAGAAAGAGCGTCGGCGTCTTGATGTTTTTTGCCCGATTTATAAATAATCTCAAACTGATACTCCTGTAGGCGTAAAATCCAACGACCCAAGCGTCCAGACAAGTTCTTCATTGTAGAAAGCCAGCATAAGGCGTGGTGGTCCGTTACGATGGTGAATTGACGGTCGTACAGATAAGGAAGGAACTTTTGTATGGACCAAACCACAGCGAGGCACTCCTGCTCAGTGATGGTATAGTTTTTTTCGGTAGAAGTTAGCACTCGGCTAGCATATGCGATGACCCTTTCCCGTCCAGAGTTATCGCGTTGGAGGAGAACAGCACCTATACCGCAGCCGCTGGCGTCGGTATGCAGGAGTGTTGGGGCGGTGTCATCAAAATGGCAGAGTACAGGCTCTGACGTCAAAGCTTTCTTCAATAGGTGAAACGCCGACTGACATTCCTCGGACCACACAAAGGGTGCATTAGATGCAAGTAGTTTGTGAAGTGGCGCAGCTATTGAAGCGAAATTTCGTATGAAGCGACAAAAATATGATGCGAGGCCAAGAAAACTTCGCAAATCCTTAAGTCTTGTGGGGCATGGAAATCGAAGGACGGCAGCGATCTTTTCGGGGTCAGGGCGAATACTGTCCTTGCTGACGACATGACCAAGAACCTTGATGGATTTGGTGGCGAAACGGCACTTCTTAGTGTTGAGCTGCAGACCCGCACCGGCGAGGCATGTTAGGACGTCATCCAAGCGGCTAAGGTGCTGAGAAAACGTTGATGAAAAGATGATAATGTCATCAAGGTAGCAGAGACACGTCTTCCATTTCAGACCACGCAGGACGGTGTCGATCATGCGTTCAAACGTCGCGGGCGCATTGCAGAGCCCGAAAAGCATCACGTTAAATTCGTATAGGCCATCGGGGGCTGCAAATGCCGTTTTTTCTTTGTCGTCATTGTGCATGGGAATTTGCCAATATCCCGAACGCAAATCAAGGCTTGAAAAGTATTCGGCGCCTTGCAGTGAATCAAGGGCGTCGTCGATGCGTGGCATGGGGTATACGTCCTTGCGTGTGATGTTGTTAAGTGCCCGGTAATCAACGCAAAAGCGCACGGAGCCATCTTTTTTTCGTACCAAAACAACAGGGGATGACCAAGGGCTAGTTGATGGACGAATTATTTCTCGTTGGAGCATGTCAGCAACGTTTTCCTCGATGATTTTTCGCTCAGAGAGAGACACGCGGTACGGGCGGCGATGTACAATAGATGTTCCCTCCGTCTGAATGCGATGCGCTGCAGTGGTAGTTCGGCCCAACGTTGAGAAGCAGGTGTCGAAAGAATCGGCGTGTTTCGTTAATAACGCAAGCAACTGCTGCGCCTGCATAGCTGTTAAGTCATCACTGATAAGAGCTGTGAAGGGAGAGGATGAGGCAGGCTTACTCATAGAACGGTCGTTGGTAGAGGCAGGGTTAAGTGGCGTGACGCTGACAGGCTCAGCATCCACAACACAGGCTACTGCAGTGCCCTCAAGCAGGAGAATTTTCTCTAGCGTTTCATTCGTAGCAATGATGAGCGCGGAGCCATGGTGAAAGTGTACGACACCTGATGCAAGGGCTATGCCTTTTGCGACGCAAGTCGACAAAGGGGACACCAAGACGTCACCGTGGTCGATGTCCTTAGAGATCAGGGTCACAATTCGTTCTTGATGTGGCGGTAGTTCGAGATCTTCGCGAGCGAACAGGCGTAGAGGCTTGTAGACGCCTTCGTCGAACATGGAGTCCGTATTAGTTAGGTGCAGAATCCGTTCACCACAACATATAGCGGCTGAAGAAGAAGATAGGAAGTCCCACCCTAGAATTAGCTGGTGAGAGCACCGGGTAAGCACAGTGAACTCGATGTAATGCAAAATGTCATCAATAAACACACGAGCAGTACAAAGAGCAAAAGGGCGGATAGCGTTCCCCTGGGCTTCGACTAGATTGGGTCCATTATAAGGTGTCATTACTTTTTTCAGGCGTTTGCACAAATCATACCTAATCACAGAAACTGTAGCACCGGTGTCCACCAAAGCGTCCACGAGAACCCCTTCCACCGTAACAGAAACCATGTTGAACGGGCGTGCTGGAGGAATATGAGTCCTACTGTTACATGCAGTTTCTCCTCCGAAAACTGCATCATTTAGTTTTCCGACCGGTTGTCAGTAGTAAACGAGGCTGGCCGAAGAGAAGAGGAGGAGCGACGGAAGGGCGAAGGTGATCGGCGTCGGCTTGAACAGTAAGTGTTCCGCGTCTCAGTCGACGCGGGCGGAGATGGAGACCGCTGCTGTCCAGATGAATAACGCCGAGCATAAGAATCCCCTCTGGAAAAGTCCCGTTTGCGCATGTCGTATCCACGACGCTCGTCCTGCTGGCGCTTGCGGCAGAAGCGTGATATATGGCCACGATATCCACAGTAAAAGCATGTTGGGCGAGACGTGCGCCAAGGCGGGTAGTAGAAGGCGTTCGGCGCACCGGGAGATAGCGCACTCAAGTGGACTGACAAAGGGTCGGGTGGGATTGGCCGGAAGTGGACCGGTGGTGCAGCAGCAACCGGCGTGAATGATGGCAGTGGTGAAGTAGAGTTTACGTTGCGAGGAGGCGCGGCCGCAACTTGCGCGTACGTTGGAGGGCTAGACGTAGGTGGCTGGACGTAGGCTGGACCGGTGAATGATGTTAGTTCCTCCCTTACGATGTCACGGAGGGCCATGCTTGAAGGCTGTGTGACAGATGGAGAAGGTTGTGAGATGCCCATTGATTGAAGTTCCTCTCGTATGATCTCCCGTATCATGTCACGCAGGTCCCGGTCTGCTGTACGGTGTTCACTATTGCCCGACTGAAGGCGAACAGAATCAAGTTCGTCGAGACGCTGACACGTAGAGACGACGTCAGTGACAGTAGAAGGATTCTGGGCAACAAGGGCATTGTAGGCAATGCTTCCGATGCCCTTCAGGATGTGGCGCAGTTTGTCCGACTCGGACATCGAAGAATTGACGCGCCGGCAAAGTGCAAGGACATCCTCGATATAAGATGTGTATGACTCGCCGGGATGTTGTTGGCGAGTATCTAGGGCCCTCCTCGCTAGAGCGTATCGAACGGCTGGCATGCCGAATACTTGGCGAAGCTGCTGCTTGAAGGCAGGCCAGTCGGTGAGGCCGATCTCATGGTTCAAGAACCATGTCTTGGCAACGCCCGTGAGATAAAGCGATACTCGGCGGAGCTTGTTAGAGTCGTCCCAGTGATTAGTTGCGCTTACTCGCTCGTAGTTATCGAGCCAGTCCTCCACATCTTCGCCGCAGAGACCAGCGAAGATCGGAGGGTCACGCTGGTGGTTTACGATGTAAAGAGGAGGGGCTTGCGGCGCAGTGACGGCTTGCGGCGCAGAGACGGGAGCAGAAAGGGCATCCACCCACTCACTCTGAGACATGTTGGCGGACTGAGGGTCCAAGCGGCGGCCTGAACGGAGCTCCAGCGAGTAGGCATTGTAAGGAGAGGTACTGGGAACGTCAATCCACCTCCACCACGAATGACGACTCGGTTGTAACGAGGTTTATTCGTCATGAACTCGGGACCGAACAAGCGCAACGGACCCGACAAAGAAGTGCTCGTGCCAAGAAGATGATGATTGTGAGCCAGAACATATGATGATGATTGACTGCTGTTCAGATGAGGATGAAGCGCATAATAGATGCCTACAATATATATATATATATATATATATATATATATATATATATATATATATATATACTATTTGAATTGACTTTGAATTCGCTTACAACCTAAAATTTACAATTTGCACAATGACTACTTAATTCTGAACATTAAGGCCCCAACACTAGTGTGTTGGGAAAAATACTCAGTTTAGACATGTACCACACTGTCAAGACACTTCAGCACCAGGTTCCCAATATGTGCAGGAAATGCTGTGGCTGTCCTCAGTACCGTTCAACTTCATTACAAACAAGTTGCATATTCAATATTTACTATAAGAATACCTAATGCTTGCTGCACAAATATATTAGAATTCAATTATATTTGAAAATTCCATTGTGTCTCCTATGAATGGTAAGGTTTCAGAGCAATGAAATGTCATATGTAGTATTTGGAAATCATGTTGCTGTTCCATAACTTTGGTCAAACAGACTTGTCAGCATAAAGTAATGTGCTCCAGAATCAATCGGGCAGCATACTGCCTCTTGCTTGCAGGAAGCCTGGTAAAGCAGATCCTTGAAGCAAAGAAGGAGTTGGAACAAGGAAGCCAGCGGCCATCGACGGGCTTCACAGCAGCTGAACCGGTAAATGTTAACACAGCTTCATTTTCCTTTGAAAGGTTGCTGGGTTGGTAGATCAGAGCTCCAAGGTGTTTGAAGAATAATTTTCATCAAGATCTGAGTCCAGAAAGTAAGCAAGCCACTCTTGCCACTACAACCAATCTCAGATTAATAAAAACATTTCAACATTGAAGAAAATGATATTTTGTCACATGTTTCTTCAAAGTAACTTGTGCTACTTATTGCTGCTGCTCTGCAAAGATGCTTTCAATGTATTCACAGAGAGATTTCGTCAAGGGCAGCTTTAACAATACACTTGTGAATTGTTTACTGCTTCAGATCAAATTGTACCACTTTCAATTTAACAAGTTCAGTAATGCGACAAAAGGGGCTAGTTGATTCGTGTTGGCTTGGCGATGCGCTTACGGTAGGGAGATGCTACGAAGGACGGACTACAAAAAACATTTAACACAATTCAACCGAACAAGTGCAAACTCGAACTGGTTTTATTATTCATGAATAGTCAATACAAGTTCATAAAAGCACGTTGAAAGAGTTAGTACGTTTGACCCGGCCTATGTGAAGTCCATCACGAAATAGATTTCATCAGGAGACAGTTTCATTGATGGCTCGCTGACGCATGTTTTGGCACCCAGATATGCCATGAGAGCAGCTTCGTCAACTGTTCTCTCCCTGTCGTCTTTCAAGCCTGTTTCATAATTGTCATTTTTTTTAGATTTTTGTATGCATGTTCATTAACTACAATGGGTAGCTAAATTCTAGGGTGGGTAATCTGTTGGCAATTATACCTCTGCTTTCTAAGCATAGTGTTAACACTAGTGGGTATAATGCTGTGCATAAAGAACGCGGGCACAAGAAGATGTTCCATTACACACGGACTGCAAACTTTCAACAATTCATTACTGAGCCGTATGACCCTTTTTATACTTGACGTGCATATCTGCATGTTCCAAGGAACATCATCAAACAAATGCACAGCCACTAATAAATGTTATTTATTTTGCTAGCAATGTCTACAGAAGCCTCACTGACACATCTATCTTTCGATTTCGAGATATTATGTGCTTCCATAATCAACCATGTTGTTTAATTATGATGCACTCTTCGAACACAGGTTTAGATCTGCAATCTCTACAGTGGATGGCTAACCAACCACCTGACTGATTTTTAACGTAATTTGTGTGCTCGTGAAGCCTGTCATTAATGCAGTGACCTGGTTGTTCTACTTATTAGCCAAACAGGTTGATGTTAGAGTGTTATTTTTCACCCCAAATAAACTTGCTAAGCTGTGCCATATGACCAATAAGTAAAGCAGAGGAAAAAGTGTTGCAGTAAGCCTCATAGCAACAAGCTTGTTGCATGCAATGAAGGTATTATGTACCGCACACCTTTAACTTAATTGTAAGTGCTATTATGTTGGGCAATCAGCTTGTTGCATTAAGAGCAGGCTGCGCAAGCACGTGAGTTACACTAAAAATCTCCTAGGTGGTTGGTTTGCTATCTAATTGCGGAAATCGTAGATGTAAACCTGAGTTTAAAGAGTGCATCATAATCGTCTGAAGTAGAAATTACCCAACATGATTGATATAGAAGCACATAACATCTTGCACCTGAAAGATAAGTGTGTCAATGAGGCTTTTATAGCGTCGTCAGCAAAAGAAATAGTATATTTTAGTGGTTGTGCACGTGTTTTATGATGTTTTTTGGGACATACGCATTTATGTCAGTCAAGAATAAAAAGGGAATGTGTTCTCAAGCTGACCTTTTAACAAGTTGCCTTTTCTTCTTCAAGGCTAGAACTTGAGGCTAGCCTTGAGGAAAATAAGTCCACTTGTTGAAACACTGTCTTGAGCATACATCCCCTGTTTATGGATTTTTTCATTGCAAGCTTCCCTTTTCTGCCGTTTTTACGTATAAGAAGGGTAATTCTGCTCCAATATAAACTGTTGAAAGTTTGCGCTCTGCGTGTTCCATCGTCTATTATTGTGCCCTTTTTGCACAATGTTACACACACTAATGGCAGACCAACAGGCCCAAATTGTAATCTTGGTGTTAACACATCGTGAGGTCTCACAAAAATGGTCGTAGGAGCTTCTCAGGCTACCAGCTTCCAGAAAGGATCCAGTACATGCTCGATAAAGGTCCCAAATTTGCAATACAACTGCATCTCAAACTGGTACAGCTGTTAGAAATTGTGCGCAGTATTGCGAAGTGAACTCCTAATGAACACAGAAGCGAATGTGTTTCAAAAGCACCAAATCAATGTGTTGAATGCTTCAAGAAAAATCAAGAAAGAAAATGTATGCAGAGCTGTTTGAATGATACTACGATCTGGCTGCTGAAACGCAATGATTTATGGCTACTTTTATTAGACAAGACAGTGATTTGTGTTCTTGAATCATGAAGATTATGAAGGAAAAGTATTGTAGGCTCTGAGCAGAAATTTCAGGGTGATAGACATAGACCGATGAGGACTAGAGGAATTGTGCAAAAAAGCTAGTATAACATGCAGTAAAATGGGCCTGTGCAGTACTCAGAAAAAGACCAAAGATAGCATGGAAGTCGCCCTTGGTCTATTCAACGAGGTAAAAAAACTGAATATATGAACAGTGCAACTTAGAAGTAATTACAGTGCATCTACGGAAGCGAAAAAACAAGGACAGAAAAAAGCGCTGTAAAAAAAAACACAGAGCAAAATCTGTTTAGGGTTATTGTTGAAGATTTTGACCGAACCGAAATTGCAAGATATCTAAAAACACATCTGTTAACTCTCCCAATCGACAACCTGTACCTCATCAATGACTCTCAGGAAGTCTTAGAATTTTTTAACAAAGATCAATGGTTTACATATATATCAGTGGATGTGAAAGACATAATAATTTCATTCTGCAAGTACAAGCAGTCCAAGCCATCAAAAAAAGCCTTTGAAGCTCAAGCCATCGACACATATGGCAGTGAAAAGTTTATGAATGAATGTCTGACAGGAGTGCAAGAATTTCTAGAACTGTTACGGATTTATTTGCAGTTATTACGTAAAAGACAATGGAACTGCATTTGTGCAGTGAGAAGGAAGAACAATTCTACTATGAATCTCTCCTGTTCTGTGCAACATGATTGTGGCAAAAGGAGACTGTATATTTAAGAAATGCTAAAGCAAATATAACAATTTATGTCAAAGTAAAAGATCAATGTTAGAGGATGTCTAAAAGGTCAATATTATCAAGAGTAGCACTCTACTCATTGAGAAGTTAGGGTAAATGTACAACACCGTACTGCCACATTCTCTCCTCATGTTTTGTTATCACCTCGTTTTACTGTGAGTAATCATCAGCGATAACGCCAACACTATTCGAGAAGCTTCAGGATGGCAGTAGATGATTTCGTTAAGACTACGCCCACTTCGTGAACAGTACAGTTTATTCTGGAACCTACGTTGCCACTAGTGATAACGCTAGAATAGTCGACGGTAAGTGTATAAATTCCGACACGCCTCCCCGCTTGTCGATTGATCGACGGCCAATGCTCTGTTGGCTGCTATCAGTGTCAGCGTCTTACTTTCCTTTGGCGTGGCCACAAAATCGGCCCGATTGAACAATTTCTTTTTCGACCTGGAGTCTGCTCCCTTCGTTCACGTCACAACCCCGTGACAATATGCGTCATGAGTGGGACATTTTTGCAATGTTTCGAATGGCCTTAGAAGTTCCCAGTACAGTTTGTATAATTGTATACTAATCAGACTAGTTGCATTAAAAAAATAAAGAGCCTTTCGTGCATTACAACATGTGATAAAATGCTGCTTGTCCGTTTCTTTGATTAATGAAAAAAAGAACCACTTGCATTACCATGGGGAACGGCACGAGTGGTTCAATAGTGCCGTTCTTGCGCAACTGCACTTCGCTCACACGGTAGTGTCTCAGTGGTAATATTTTGGTAAGGCGTACTGCTGCGAGTGCTTTGCACGCGCACAGAAGTAGCAGTGATGAAAAGTTGGACAAAATGTCGCGTGCATATGATGTTTTGGATGCCGTTTGAGTTTCAGCAAAGAAATGGTTACTTTCCTCTGGCTGCCACGAAAACAAACCCCTATGCTTGAAGTGGCTGAGTGCCATGCCTCTGTCTTGAATGCCTTTCATGATGTATTTAAAGAATTACAACTCAGGATAAATTTACCAAACCAGAATTATAGACTTAAAATTAAACCTCGAGCCCCGCCACAGATGTCGGGCTTATATGAAAAAAGGTGACAAAGGCCTCATGAGCTGCCATAGCAGTTGTTCAATGTTCACTAAACGAAGCATTGCACTCGCATGTCTTCCCCAATCTGTTAATGAATCATACGACTCCATGACTTCAAACAATCTGAAAGTACAGGCTGCTAGGTTAGCCCCTTGTGCAACCGTAGGACATATACCTCCCACTTTTCCAGCCCGCCGCAGTGGTATAATGGTTATGGCGCTCGACTGGTAACCCAAAGGTTGTGGGATCAAATCCCACCTACAGTGGCTACATTTTCGGTGCAGGCAAAAATGCTGCAGGCCTGTGTGCTCATATTTCGGTGCACGTTATATAACGCCAGGTGGTCGAAATTTCCGGAGCCCTCCACTACGGCGTCTCTCATAACCATATGGTGGTTTTGAGACATTCAAACCTCGTATATTAATTATTGTCCCACTTTTCTATCTGCAGAAAAAATGTTCTCCCACATCCCCTTGCAATTAGTGCAACACTAAGTCACTCATATTTTACCCAAGTTTTCGTAATCTCAAGAAAAATTCTTTTGCCAAGCTTTCAAAGGGTGATTATAGGGTTACAATGACAGCAAATTTTGGTAAGCTTTTTATAATAGCTTCTGATTTTTCCTTCTCTTCAGATTGATAGAACTTACCAATCAAGAACTTACCAATGCCTGAGACTTTCTTATTTTTCTAGTTCTTGAGAGAGGTGACTTTGGCTTCCAGACACCATGTGTTTTTGTAAAGTTATGCAACAACTTTACCCATAAGTACAGCGGAACGATACCCAGTCAAATTGCACCACTCATTCCTCAACGCAATTACACATATTGGTGGATGCGAATATTTTTTTTGATATCGTATACCCCTTGAAAAGTTTTCCCGTATTCAGGGACAACGGTTGTACTCAATAATTTTGGCAGCAAAAGTAAGGACAGAAAAATGGGCAAAAAAGGAATGGTTTGTTAATGCAGTGAAGTAAGCTTTACAGCAACAGACCACAGCCCTACGATGGCTCACAAGAGGTGCACTTGCAGGTGTTCCTCTGTTGAAATGAGGTCCACACACCTTTCTCTTCACAACTTCAGAAGTGGCCCTCAGCAATGACACTCGCTTCGACAGTTTCATCCCAAATACCTGTTGATGCAATCGCTAGGTGGTGCTTTCATGACACAGTTGGACAGTGTTTTCCCACTCTTCAAAAACACTCTCACGATTTTTTTTTTCTGTAAACTACCGGCTTGATTTTGATCAAATTTGTCTCAAACTATTTATTTGTAGTATATAAGGCTATACCACAGCCAGTTTTTACAGTGAAAGCCGTATGTGGCTAGGAAAAACCAAAAACCACTCGGCATCGGTTCACAAGTGGTTTCCTTTGGCTGTGCTATCAGTTGTCGTTCTCAGCGTCGTACCCAAGCGCACACGCCATTGGCTGCTTTGTGAGTGACGTCACCCATTCCGCCGAAGCCGCGGCGCCGAGCAACATGCATTAGTTTCTACTGAGAATGCCCACATGGGTAAGCCACGGACAACTTTAGAAGAGCGCCAACAGAAAAAATGTGAGAGAGCTCGCATTCGCTGGGCCGGTGCTGCAGTCCGGGCACAAAAACAGACCCGGGAGACCAAGTGCCATCACCAACTGTGTACCGATGATCCGGCAGCCTTCCAAGCTGCGCTAATTACGAACTAGAATGCAAGCGCCGGCAGCGGGCAAATCCTGCAAACCACGCTGTTCAGTTAGCTCGCAATGCCAAACGCTTGCAACAACTCACGCTAAACAAGCAGTGTTGCGGCCACAACAGCGTTAACGTGATGATCGTGGGAGCGCGTTTGCCGAGGCGTACGCCCGCTTTCGGAGGGAAGTTCTCCAGCGGCACTTTGGCTTCGGCTGCGATGTCTGTGACCGCCTGTGCTTTGAGAACAACCACTGCGACCACCACATTGCGAAACACATTTCGTTGTTCATTACACTCCTCTATGACCGTGATCATGCGAGGCACAATGTGCGGCATGTGAAAAAACACTGGGGTAAACCCAAGCCAGACGTGTGTCTAACCTCATTAAGAAGCACGAACGTGTAACCAATAATTGCGGAAGGCTTCAGTGCCACGTCGAGTTGAACCCACTGTTAAACGTTGGGGCAGCACATTTCAGCCTTTGCTGGTTAACCATTTGTACGGAGTGCTCGGACGGTGATTTTTTCATATCATTGGTTCGAAAATATAGGTAAACCTACAAAGCATTTTGAAAGGGAAAGCCCTTTTTTGTGTGCAAATTGTTTCAACAAAAAAAACTGAGATAGGACAGAGCACACTCCTATTTACAAAGGAATAAAATCTAGCCGCTTTCCTGATTCAATAATTGTGCGTATCGCTGAAAAAATGCTTCGCGATATGTCTGCAAAAAAGAAAAAAGTTGAAACCAAGAAAGAGAGGCAACGACTCATGCTTATCCCCTACATCCACAAGATATCGCACTGACTAATGATGATCGCTGACAAACATGGCACGCCGGTTTTATTTGCAGAACCTAAAAATTGCTAGAATTGTGTAAGAATGTTAATAGTACATAAATAATGCAAGATTAAATTATTTGTAAAATGTGCCACAAACCAAGCTTTGTTCAGTGTGATGTAGGTGTTGTATACCACTTGCCATTAACATGCTGAAAAAAAGATATATCGGACAGACCTCATGGTGTGTTAAAGGGGTACTGACACTTTTTTTTTCTAGGTGAGTTTACTCTGCCATACAAATCCCCTGTGTACAGAGACGGCTCTGAGCAAACGTGACGCTCGGCAAACGCCGACAAGATATTATACTTTGGTATTGAAGTAAATTTTCTCGTAGCGTTTCTAAAGACATTGACACTAACTTGACATCATGATTGATTGATTGATATGTGGGGTTTAACGTCCCAAAACCACCATATGATTATGAGAGACGCTAACTTGACGTCAGGCTAGAGTACTAATCCGGGTGACTTCAAGCAGCAGTCTGGCTTGTTGTGATGACATCAAGCACCAAAACACAAAAAATGGCAGCTTGCATGTCGCCTTCTCGATCGTCTGTTCGTGCTGGGCTGTCGTGCAGTCACTGTCATCCAGCGTACATGCGAAGCAAGTGAGCGGAGTCTAGAATAGTGTACGGGCACATACTATCGCCTGGTAGCGCTGCTCATACCATGTCCTGACCTCAGGGTCCAGTAGGAACCAAAGCTAAATTTTAAAAGCATGCTGTAATTAATTTTTCAGGGCACACTCACACTTAACAATACATTTTCTATGTTGTCTGAAGCTTGGCCTATCATTTGATGCAAACAAAAAAATGAAAAGTGAGAAATTTCGTGTCAGTACTCCTTTAATGCTAGGCTTAGAGAGCATGAGTACACTTGTCAAAAGATTACCCCAAGAATTGAGCTCCCCAATATAACCAATGCACATGTGTACCAGAGTTAGAAAAAACAACTATTTTGAACTGGTTAAAAAATGACAGGGAGCGAATAGTTTATGAAGCTACTCTCATGGCATCTCTGGGTGCTAGTATATGTGTTAGTGAGCCATGAGTAAAATTATCGTCTGCTGAAATCAATTTTGTGATGAATGTCACATAGGTGAGATCAAGTATGCACAGTCTGTTTTCATGTGCTTTATTTTTTATTTATATATCGACTCTGCATGAATAATACAAACAGTTAAAGTTTGTACTCATTCAGTTAAAACTGTGTCCTGTGTTCTTTGTAGCCTGTCCTCCGTAGCGTCTCTCTACTGTGTAGGCTCATCGCTGAGCCAACAAGTTCACCCACCAATATATTAACAGCAATGCAGACCCAAGTCAAACTAACACAATGCTCGGCCAATGAAAAGATTATTTGTGGTAAAAGATGAGTTAACATTGCAAAAGTTAATAAAAATATGAGCAGTCGTAGGCATGCACGATGAAATTCGCAACACTGAAAGAAATATAAACAGCAGAACACATTGCTTGGGAAGAAACTATGAGCACCAAACATTTCAGTTCACACGTGAACGCAGCCAGATATGATGGGTGAAGTAGTTGCACATTGTAGCTAAATTTATTCGTTCGTTTACGCACACCACACACTTGGCTGTTCAGCTTCGATCACACTTCTACTGCTGCTTACACTAAATTTGCTAGCACAATCATGGACTACACTTTCGGTGCAGTCCGACATTTTCGAAATTCGTCACATTATTAGTTTTCACAATCAATGCCAATGACACTACACATTACACACCAAGAATCCACGAAAAAACCAGTGATGTATTCTTTTAGTGAGCGTGATTTTGTGGGAAATTTTCTCAATTTTATGCTGCCAAGCTGGAGGTGTGGCTTTCTCACTACCAAGTACTTTCAAATACACGCTGCTATTCCAGCTTTGATTATCTGCCAAAAAATTCAAAAAATGACTTCCCCACCAAGTGTAGAGTTGTGCTTCCATGTATATAACTTTGATATCTACCTAGTTTCACTAAGCAGATTATTCTTTACAGAGGTGATAGGGTACCAAGTGCAGGGCGCAGCCGTGCGTGGGGCACATAGCCGAGAACCATTGCAGCATACTGACCGTGGCAGTTCCATATTTGCAGGCAGAGTGGTCTGCGCAACAGACCAACAGCAGCCACTGTCAGATTCAATTGACACAATGAAAGCAAGGCATTGAAAGATTTAAAAACATAAAGCTGCTGCATTTAAGGTGTTCCAAGGAGAAATCTTCAGCACCTTTCGTAGAAAAAGACACTCAAGATGTGTTGAGGTTAAAGTGCGTTGTTACAGAACTGGGACATTTTACATTCTGCACCGCTGCAATTCTTTGGTTCAGAAGACACGAGAAGCTGTAACTGAAGAATGTTGGGACAGGCCTTCATCTTGTCACATAACATTGACTGACGATGAAGATTTCTCATATTCACACTATCAAGTGAATGTTTCCTGACAGGTCATGCCAGGCATTGTCTCTAAAGCACCAGGCCAGGACAAGACCGATGCCCTCCGACAGCACATCCAAGCAGTCAGCCGAGGAGCGCTCCCGCTGGGAAAGCTGCTGGACTTACTTTCTGAGGACCTGGACTCCATGAACATTGAGTTGAGTTTGTGGAAGGAGGAGCACGCCAAGAATCTGCAGGCTTACAGCTCCGAGCAGAGGTAGGACTGAAACTAAAGCTCTGAATTGGCATTCTTTCAAAAGGCTCCAGATAAAACGTTGACACAAAGTCCAAAAAAAGAGAGAAAAAAAGGCACGGCATAAGAACAGTGTAAGAAGCAGAAAGCGGCGACCTTTTGTGTCTTTGGCCAAAGTGCAGCTTATGGCATTCATAGGTTAGCTGAGAAAAAGAACCAGAGCAAGTGATCAGTATGTGCAATGTGCATAGCACACATGAAAATTTCTATTAGCCTGCATTTATTCCAAGCTGTAAAACTTTTTTCACTGCAGAAAAGGGGTGCTACATCATGACTACACCTCCCAAGAGAAACCCACACTGCCGCGAAGCCCCTTGGCAAGGCTAAAGGGACATATTACCCTCAAACCGATTCATCATTTCTTTATAAGTTAAAAAGCTTGATATACTGGTCTATATGCTATAAGTATAGCAAATTTTATATTTTACAGGTTATTACTTTCATTCTACTGAAAGTCAAATCTTGTTACTAATTATTGTTTCCACTTCCTTTCAACCAAGATGAATGATATTTGCACTGTTTTTATTTCAATTGAAGAAATACAGTATATGTATTGTGCAGGTTACTTGGGCCATGACAAAAATGTGCCCCTTTTCCTTATAATGTGTGATATGTACTATTTGAATTCCATTTGAAATTATTTGACCAAATCACTATTCACTTCAAATTCACATTGAACCTAAAATTCACTATTCACACAAGCCTATTAATTTATCATCAAGATAAGCTTGATTTTTTGCCTTTATGAGCTATTCATGCATTTCATTTTCAATCAAGGTTGTAGAATGAGTTGGTGCCTCTTCAATAACAGTCTCCTAATTGCTACTAACCAATACAACTCCAAGTTATCATGGTCAAAACCTCATGCACTACTCATTGCTCTGTTTTTTTTTCTGCACACACGTAGACTATCGATAAGCGGAATTCACTATGTGGTATTTTTTGGCCATTTTCAGAATTCCTTAAACCTTAGGGATAATAGAAGAGCTGCACAATTAGATATGTCATTCCTGTAGTGTTCTCACTGAAAGTGTCTTTTTTGGCCCTGTGTGTGTGTGTGTGTGTACACACAAACACACATGCACCTGCATATGAAAACAAAACATTTCGAGTTGACGCTGTGCTTGTGTGTGTTCTACTCTGTCCATGTTCAGTCGCACTGTTCAAAATTAGCATGATAAACTAACAAGTTCTCTGTCAATGCACTTTGGCCAGTCATATAAAGGAGCATGCGTTGCAATTAGTCACTTTCTGACTGAAATGATTGCCAAGCAGTGTGTTGGCTTTTGTGGTGCGAAAGGTTTCTCTTTACACTGTTTCACAGTGAACTGAGCAAAGCTGATGAGGTCTTTTTTTTTTTTTTGAAGTGCAACAGACTCGATTCTGGAGCCTTTACGACAGAACTTAGAAGAGCTGGACCAGCGCATTGGTGACGAGCTTGAGGAAATCTCGGCAAGGAGGGCAGCCATTTTCAGCAATGCTGAACGGTTAGAGAAGATGCTCACTGTGGCAAACCTTGGACGCTAAAAATTCCTGACTTTTTTGGCAACAGACAGCCTTGAGGATGTTGTTATTTCATGGATGAGAATGAAATAAATGCACTAATTGACGTGTTCACTTTGTTGGCCTTGCTGCAGCAACATATATAGTTCAGGAAATTCCTGCAGACTTGAACCTCGAATAAACACTACGCATCTAGCTTAAGCAATGATTCAATGTTGGGTGAGACTTTCAAAATGAGAGTGTAGTGACACGTATCCTGAAGGAATACGGCCACTAGCGTGGGTCCAGTCTTAGCGAGCCGCAAGGCACGCAATAACCGTTGCCATGGCGAGAACACGATACTGCTCAAAGTCACAACACTTTATTGCCTGTGGCAACACCAAACGCAGTACAACCCGTTGCAAAGGCACGGCGAGAAAGCGAAGAGGCTTATCCACACCACGGGCATAAAAGTACTACACAGTGTGCCACAAGCTTTGTCTTCGCAATAAAGGTGATCCACAGAGACACCGGGACCAAGGCCCGGTTGCTCGAGCGAGGGCAAAGGCGCTCGCGTTGGCTTCGGAGGGAGACGGGTCAACGTAGCTAGGCCATGCACTAGGACACTGTACCTCCCTTCGGCCTAGTGTTCGGAAGGGGGGGAGCGACATAAGGTAAGCGTTCGCTGCGGGTGCAAGGCGCTGTTGGCAAAGTCCGAACGAGTCCCACAGGGAACTGACGGACGGAAAAGAAAAGCGTGCTTACCCCATGTCGTCCCCGGAGAGGTCTCCCGCCCGCTCTCGACGCACACGCGCAATACCTTTCGGGAGACTCCGCGTGGGGCGCCACAGTCAACATCCGCTACCAAGTGAGGGGGCTAAACGTCACTCCGCTCCCCCAGCGCGGCATACAGGGGAGGAGGGGAGACATGTCGGGACATGAGAACGGCAGAAAAGGCGGCAAAGCCCGCACAAAGGCAGCGGGCTAGCCTCAATTCCCACAAGAGAAACCACTACGAAGTCACTACAGTAAATAAAATAATTTCACTGAAAATAAAGAGTTTAAGCAAGAGGCCGACAGAAAGATGACTACCCACACGGTCTTTTGTAATTCAGGTTTCAGAGGCTCTGAACCAATTAGCACAATAATGTTGCAGTAGCATGTTAAAATGACCTCATTCAGGTCACTCTTATGCCCACCATAATGTTAAACATTCACAGTTTGAAATGCATCACAACACTTGCTAAAGGGAGTCTTAGAAATATTAAAACTTGCAGTACGTGGAAACAATGTTCATCAAGCAGGTGAACAGGATTCGTTTGATCACAGCATTACAGTTAGCCAGTGCAATGTGACCTAAAAATTTCAAAAGGACTTGATTTTGGGCAAGTTGGTGCTTACTTTGTGTAGATGACTGAGGCACGAAAAACATTTCGTGAAACGGGAAGAGCAGAAGAAAAGAAAGAGTAGCAGCTGTTCTTTTCTGCTCTTCCCGTTTCACGAAATGTTTTGTTGTGCCTCAGTCATATGTTGTCACCTAGCACAGCATCGTGTGCTATAAGGTATTTGAAGATGTCCACACAGATTGCTGTGAATGTGAAGACTGCTCCTGATCACATCCCAATGACTATGATAGGAGTTAAGTTGCTACGTAGATGTAAGACTACAAAAACTATTGACAATTAAAATTTTAGAGGCTGCAGCTAGTGTCAGAAGCAGGGCACAAGGAAAGGAAACAGTAAGTGATCTGAACAAGGAAAGGACCAAATGAATGACCGAGCATGGAAATCTCCAGTTGCAACGACCGTGTAAAATTTTTTTGAATCAATAGACTAGATTGACAGCAGCAGCTTATGCTTACATAGTGCTCTGTCTTTTTTTTAACATTGTGTACACATATTGTTTTTTATGTTATTTATTTACTATTTGTGCCGTCGATATTCGGCGTTCCTCCCACTAGAGCCCTTCTCAAGCCTGCAGCTTCAGATGTCTGAGAAAGTCTGAGACGTCCTGGGGTTTCCTGCATATGCACATTACAGCCTTGACCATTGAAGATCCGTTCATCATAAAAAAAAAAAACTGTTGTCTTCCCCTCTGTAGTGGCGTGCCCGGGTAGCGCGGACGCCGCTAGCCGAGACAAAAGTGGGCGTGAAGCCCGCGAAGAATGATCCAACAACGCGTAGTTCACAAACAGCAAAAAGCCCCATTTAATGCGCACCGATGCCTTTTATACAGAGTGGGGGCGCCACCTCCCAGTTACTAGAAGCAACAGGTGGCGTCCTCTACATCCCTCCTTCCGGAGCTCTCAAACACAAGTGTTCCAAAAGAGCACCACCAAGAAACAGTCCTTGCAGCAGTCTCACAAATTCAGTCTCCGAGGTGGCACTACGCGCCGGCCGTATCGTGTGTAACGGTGACCTGGCAATCGTGCAGCAGGTGCAGGAGCTGGAGTGTCCGATGCGTTACCGGTTGCTGCCCGCTGTGGTCCGGGAGACGGCGCCGATGTCGGGGCCGCAGGGTTGGGGATTCCCGTCTCATCTGAGGGAGCCGACTGAGGATTGCTGCAGGGGACAAGGTGTCTGCGGTTTCTCACTAGTATGCCACTGGGCGTCTGGACGATGTAGGAGTGGGGTCTCTGAGCCGGGCTTAGGACCGTCGCCCTTGCCCGCGTGTCACGCACCCAGACTTCCTCCCCATTGTCGAGAGCACGAACGTCATGCGCTGGGTGTCGGTTATTGTAGTCTCTCTGTTGTCTTCATCTCTGGGCGGCATCTCTGTCATTGAATACTTTCACCTGGGGCCAATCTGGAACAAGGCTTTGAGCCGTGGCTGGCACACGAGTTCGCAGAGAGCGTCCCATGAGCAGTTGGGCCGGGCTGTAGCCAGACACACTGGGAGTGTTACGGTATGCTAGCAGAGCCAGAAACGAGTCCGTGGCCTTCAGAAAGAACTCCTTGATCGTGTGAACCATGCGCTCTGCTTCGCCGTTCGACTGCGGGTAGCGTGGACTGCTCGTGACATGCGTGAAACCGTATGTCTTCCCAAAGTCCTCAAAAGCTTGCAGGAAAACTGTCGCCCATTGTCGCTGACAACAGTCACCGGGATGCCGTGTCGGGCAAATGTGCCCTTGATCGCAGAAATAACGGCTCCCGCAGAAGTGGACCGGAGTGTGAGGACCTCAGAGTACCGAGAACGGTAGTCGACAACCACCAGGAACTCTTGATTAGCAAAATGAAACAAATCAATGGTCACCCTTTCCCACGGAGCTGATGGTGTCTCGGTCGCAATCATGGGCTCACAGCATTGAACGCGTATAGAAGCACATGCTGGGCAGTTCTCTATGGCTGCTTAACCTGGCTGTTGAGACCGGGCCACAACACAGAGCCTCGGGCCACAGCCAAGCACCGATTGACGCCTTGGTGACCATCAAGCAGCAGGTTCACGATGTCTCTGCGTAGTGCTCCAGGCACAACTAGGCATCCGCCCATGAACAGCATGTTCTCGCATCGCATACAGTGAAGTCTCCCCTGTGGTCCCAGTAACGCGTCATGTTGAGCGGCAGACGGTCTCGTCGAGGCCACCCTTTCATGCAGTATGCTTTCAGCATTGAGCACTCGCCGTCTGAAGTTTGGTGGGACCTGGAGTCTTCAAGACGTACGGCCAGGGTTGAAGGAAGGGCTACCACGACCAGAGACACGAAAATTTCTGTGCTGTCCTCTTCAGACGTGGAAGAGCCTTCGGGATCCCTAGAGAGGGTGTCTGCCGTCGCCAGGTACTTTCCTGGAACATACTTGACTGTGAACTGATATCGCATGAGCCTTATGCGAAATCTTTAGATGCGAGGGGGCATGAGGTCCAGATCGGCGGAACCAAGCAACCTGACGAGCGGCTGGTGGTCGGTTTCAACGACAAAGCTGAGTCCACGCAGGAATTCCTCAAACCTCTCGATAGCCCAAGAGACACCAAGCGCTTCTTTCTCAATCTGACTGTACCGCTGCTCGGCGGTAGTCAGTGCTCTTGACGCGAACGCGACAGCCCGTCGCTCTCCCGTCTGTTGCTCCTGCAAGAGAACCGCGCCTAGCCCGAACGAACTGGCATCTGCCGACACAAGGGTGGGTAGCTCTGGATTGTAGCTGGCCATACAAGCATTAGATGCCACCATTCCCTTCAATGTCATGAAAGAGGTTGCTTGCGCATGGTCCCAGGTCCAGACCGCGTTCTTGTTCAACAGGAGCCGTATCAGTGTAGCGACGGCAGACAGGTTCGGTAAAAATCTTCCAATGTGGTTCAGCATGCCCAGAAAACGACCGACGCCATGCGTATCTGTCGGCGGCTTCATGTTCACAATAGCAGATACCTTGTCAGGGTCAGCCGAGATGCCACTGGCGCTCACCACTACACCAAGGAACTTGACGGAAGATACCCTGAAGGAGCATTTCGAGGCATTCAACGTAATGTCCGCTTGTTCTAACTTGCAAAGGACTGCTTGGAGTCTGCTGTCGTGCTCGGAACGGCTCCTGCCGAATACTAGAATGTTATCTACCATGTTCACACACCCTTTCAGGCCCTCTAGAATCCGAGACATTTGGCGCTGAAATACTTCGGGAGCGGACGTGATACCGAAGGGCAGGCGGCGGTAGCAGTAGCGTCCAAACGGTGTTATGAAGGTAGTTAGCTCCTGACAGCTTTCCGATAGCCTTACTTGATGAAACCTCGATATTGCATCAAGTTTCGAGAAGACCGCGGCATTGCCAAGACGGCCAAGTACCTGGTCCACTGTGAGCATAAGGTGTCTCTCCCGAAGAACTACTTGGTTCAACTTCGTGAGGTCAACACAAATTCTGTATTCGCCATCGGCTTTGGGTACCAGCACAATACCAGCACACCACGGGGTTGGCACTGTGACTCGCCGGATGACCCCGTCCCTTTCCATGGCATCTAAGTCCTTCTTGACTACGCCTTCGAGGGGAATAGGGATGCGCCTAAGAACGCTGAGAGAAAATGGAATCGCTCCCGGCTTGATACGAATGTGGTATTCTTCAGGCATCTCGCCAAGGCCTGAGAACAGCAAAGCTGCGGCCTTGTCTGACGTTGGGGGCCTATTCGGAGCTTCCGCATCTTCCACGGTGTCAACAAACTGGACGACTCGCAGGTCCACTACCGCCGAGTACCCCAGCAGAGGAGAGTCAATGTCTGCTACAACGTACAACGTTTTGCATACCGACCGGCCTCGCCACGACAGGGTAGCAGGAAACGTCCCAAGCAACTTTAGGCGGCAGCGGCCCGGCCCCGTCAACCGTTCGTTATCGGGTTTGTCAAGGTCAACTCGGCACCCGGCGAAGCTCGGAGGTATGACCGAAACGTCCGCCCCAGTATCCACTTTGAATTGAAGGGGGCATCCGCTGACATGAACAACAACGTGCCGGCGTTCTGTTTGCGAGGCATCCACGGCGCAGAGCTGGATTTGGCTTAAACGCCTAGTATTATTCGTGCGGCAAACCGCCGCGAAGTGTCCCTTCTTGTGACATTGGTTTCATGTGGCCCACCGTGCTGGGCACTCAGATCGCGGATGAGGGGCGTGGCCGCAAAAATCGCATGCCAACTTCAGGCCGGCACGGTACTCGGGAGGCCGACAGACGTTACTTTTACTTCGGGCAGCGTCGCATGCTGAGGCGTCGGCCGTTCGGTACTGGTTGTTCGCAACGGCGTCGACGTTCAATGCGTCTGGTGCAAGGCCTGTTCCCTGACGCCGCAATTTCTCATTTTCAGCGTCTTCGTACTGACGCGCTTGGATGAGCGCCTTGTCCAGTGTAAGCTTTGGATTGCGGCAGAGCTGGTCGGTCAAGCGAGAGTCAAGCAAACCTACGATAAATCTGTCCCGAACCAGCCGGTCGTCGATTTCCCGAGAGGCGTAGTTGCACTTCTTCACGAGATTTCGGAGCGCCGTGAAAAACGCGTCGACTGACTCGCCTACCGCTTGCATGCGCTTGTGGAACCTGCTCGACTCGTGTACCTCGTTGACGGGGTGTACAAAATATCCCGAAAGACTTGTCACGCCGGAGTACGAGCGATAGGCCTCGGCGTCTGACATGAGAGACGAAAGCACCTCGCGACCTTGGGGACCCATACAGTAGAGGAGCGTGCGTACCTTGGTTTCTTCGGGGGCGGAGGACAGTCCTGAGGCGAAAGAGTAATCCTCGAATTGTTGAAGCCACGCCGTCCATTGGGCTGGGTTGTCAAAAGTGAACTGCGGCGGAGTTCGCAATGTGAAGCTGGCGGTCACGGCGGAGGCGGCGGCTGGGTTATTCTGCATGTTGCATGGTTGTCGCAGGATCCCACTCCTGACACCATGTAGTGACGTGCCCGGGTAGCGCAGACGCCGCTAGCCGAGCCAAAAGTGGGCGTGAAGCCCGCAAAAAATGACCCGACAACGCGTAGTTCACAAACAGCAAAAAGCCCCGTTTAATGCCCACCGATGCCTTTTATACAGTGTGGGGGCGCCACCTCCCAGTTACTAGAAGCAACAGGTGGCGTCCTCTACACAGGACATCTCAGACTTTCTATGTGATGGGTGTGCCCTAAGTGCTTGTGCTTTTGTTGTGGACGTTAAGCACTTATTTTATTCCCTACCGCAGGACATTTTGTGCGAGGAGGTGAACGAGTGTATTCAACACTATGGTGAGAATAAATTTTGTAAGCTTTGTGGAACTGACGTAGATAGCTCTCTTGCACTTCTGAACATTTATTTGCAGTCGATGTTCGTCAAGAGAAATGACAAATGGTACATTCAAACACAGGGCGTGTGTATTGGATCATGTTCAGCTCCAGTCCTCGTGATACTTTATTAGCTCGTTATGACAAACGCATAAAAGTGAGCCTTGCTGTGACACGTACCGTTGAGGTATTCCGCTACATTGATGATTTTTAGGGGCAAAGCTCCTTAAGGTGTGGGTCTGTCCATCCTCCGGTGGTGTATATAGCCACCGATGGCCCATACCCGAAAGAGCGGTCCTTAGAATGTCCGCTGGATGGCGGCAGTTGTGCATGATGAATACATAATGAAAAGATGTGAAATGGCTGTACTTTGGAGTGTTCGCTGACTGACGGAGCACAGACAGATTGAAGGGTGGACGCATGGACAGACAGAGAAACAGCCGCACGAACAGACGGATGGACAGACGGAAGAACGGACGTTTGCATAGAGAGACGCATGAACAAACGGATGCACCGATGGTCACATGGACGGACGGACGCATGTATGGGCGAAAGCAAGAACGAATGGGCCGACGAAAGCACAAGCGGACTGACGAACGCTTTGCCCCGCCAATCATCATTCACTCCGTGGATATGCTGTGATTTTTTTAGTCCTTTATAGTGCAGAACAGTGTGACACAAGGCAGCACACTGACAATATTTCTAGAATTTTTTCTGCGAACACGACTAATTTGCAGCTGCAGCCGATGACAGAGTTTTATGAGAATAACGAACTTAGATTTTTATACCTGGAGCTTATGTTTCTGCCAGAACACGCATGCTGGTAATACGCTTTTTATTCCCAGAAAGCCCTGTTACCTTTTAGTTCATTGTACTCCAAGCTTGTTAAGCGAGGAATCGCAAAAGCATGCATGATGGCATCATTGTCAAGGTCTTGTGATCACCAGGTTCAGAGCAGTTTTGGCAACCAAGTTAAGAGATTTAAGAAAGCAGGCTTTTCTGATTAATTGCTCTCAGGCATAGCAGAGTCACTTCTGAATAAATTGAAGCGGGGGAAGAACGCACAGCATGCATTACAGGACGAGCCAAAGCTGAAAGTGTCTGCCATTCCTTATGTGCACAAAGTTTCACACTGCTTAAAAAGAATCATAGAAAAAACTGGGGTGAAGGTTGTCTTTGCAGCAAAAAACAAGCTATGCTTTCTATATAAAAGAGTTAACTACGAAGGACTTTCAAGTGTCGAGCGCATCAAGAAGCATGCAAAAATGTTGGCAGAATGTATTATAGATGTTGTGTATCTCATTTCTTTATCATGTGGTCGACACTACATCGGTCAGACGGGCACTGTCTGAATGATCGCCTTAGGGAGCACGCAAATATCATGCGAAGTCACTGTGCCGATTTGGGCACATCCCGAAGTTTGATGAATGCCAAGTAATAGCAAGATATAAGGACAAGAGGGCACGTGAAATACATGAGGCGTTTTTGATTTGCAAAGCAGGAACTGAGTGTGTAAATGCCCCGTCCGTCAATCTGTTGAACAATGAATACCAGTATCTTTCCAGTTAAATTTTCATTTCACGATATGAATAAGATGTTCTGGCGCATGCCCCATAATTTGTTTCTTTTTTCTGTGCATCATCTTCCCACTCTCTTGACTGTGTATATATATTGCCACCATCTGTGCAATGAAGTGGGTGTGAGTGTGCACTCTGTCCTGTCTGTCTTCTTTTGTAAACATTCCCTGCACACACAGAAAGTATATTTCTTTAAAAATTATGGTACTCACTATGACACAGACCACCCAGTGCTATAGCAGGCGATGCAGAATATGCAGCTCCATCATTACGCTCACCAACAACCACGCGTGGCTTACTCTCCTGAACTTTGGCTCGTCACCACAAGCTCTTCCTGAGGGTGCATATCTTGCTGTGTTTTGTCTCCTTTGAACGACTCCGGAGTATGTAACTAAGCTATGAACAACCATCTACGTTTGCTCAGCTTTCGGCTCCAACGACGCCATCTAACGAGAAGTTCAACAAAATGATAGAGCCTGACCTACGACCTTCTTACGCTGATGCGCTCCGTTGAGTTTTGATGTCCTACAAAGACATATTTGATTTCAACAACTGCCCGCTAGGCCGAGCACACATCTTTACTCATACGATCCACACTGGTGACGCTTCGCCCATCCATAGGCGTCTCTATCGTGTGTCGGCGGCAGAACGTCACGTCATACGAACAGAGGTCGAGAGAATGCTGTCCAATGATATTATAGAGCCCTCCTCCAGTGAATGGGCGTCCCCAGTCAATTTAGTAAAAAAGAAGGACAATACTTGGAGGTTCTGCATTGATTATCGTAATCTGAACAAGATCACCAAAAAGGACGTTTACCCGCTTCCGCGTATTGATGACGCACTAGACTGCTTACACCATGCCAGTTATTTCTCTTCGATCGATTTACGTTCTGGCTACTGGAAAATTGCAGTCGATGACAGAGACCGTGAGAAAACGGCATTCGTCACTGCAGACGATCTCTACCAATTCAAAGGGATGACTTTCAAACTATGTAATGCCCCGGCAACCTTCGAATGCATGATAGACTTTCTTCTTTGTGGTTTTGAATGGTTCACATGCTTGTGTTATCTCGACGATGTTATTGTTCTTTCACCGACTTTCGACAGCCACCTCCACTGGCTCTAGGCCATCCTTGACGTCTTCCGACAAGTGGGCCTACAGCTGAATTCTGCGAAATGTCATTTCGGCCGTCATCAATTACGTGTACTCAGTTACTTGGTGGACGCTACCGGCATACAGCCTGATCCCGACAAAGTGTGTACAGTCCGCGAGTTTCCAACTCCTCGTACCCCTTCTGATGTCCGAAGTTTCCTGGGGCTGTGTTCATATTTCAGACGCTTTATTGAGAACTTCGCAGAAATTGCTCATCCTCTCACTGGTATTTAAAAAAAACAGCCCTTTCAGTTTGGGACCTGAGCAAGCTCAGGCATTTTCCAAGCTTACGATTCGCCTTGTGAATCCGCCCATTTTGGGTCACTTTGACCCATCTGCTCACACAGAAGTCTGTATGAATGCAAGTGGCCATGGTATTGGCGCTATTTTGTCCCAGCGACAGGAAGAGCTCAATCGTGTAATCGCTTATGCTAGTCACCTTCTTTCAGCCTCAGAGCGCAACTACTCAATCACAGAACGTGAATGCCTAACCCTTGTTTGAGCCATTTCTGTTTTGCCCATATTTGTTTGGACAGAATTTCACTGTGGTAACAGACCATCATGTCTTATGTTGGCTCTCCTCACTCAAAGATCCTACAGGACGCCTCGGTCGCTGGGCTTTACACCACCAAGAATACACATTTTCAGTGTCCTACAAGTCTGGACGGCAATACAAGGACGCCGACTGCCTCTCCCGTTACCTCATGGACTCACCTGACACCACCGATGATTTGTGGGGTTTAACGTCCCAAAACCACCATATGATTATGAGAGACGCCGTAGTGTAGGGCTCCGGAAATTTAGACCACCTGGGGTTCTTTAACGTGCACCCAAATCTGAGCACACGGGCCTGCAACATTTCCGCCTCCATCGGAAATGCAGCCGCCGCAGCCGGGATACGAACCCGCGACCGGCGGGTCAGCAGCCGAGACCTGACACCACCGAAATTGATTCAAATATCTGTGTTTTGTCGCACAGCGATTTCGTACATGTCACAGATGAGCAGCGCCACGACCCATTTTTGCGATCTCTTATACAATGCCTCACTTCAACACCACAGGACGGCTCCCTCCATATGCTTGATTTGCATGACGGTACTTTATATCGACGCAATACCACATGGTGCGGAACTGCTCCTTGTTGTTCCTGTGCATTTGCGTCCAACTATCCTTTTGCAATTACATGATGCTCCCACCGGTGGACATTTGGGTGTTTATCGAACTTACGATCATGTGGGCAGACATTTCTTGTGTCCTGGCCTATACCGCTAGGTTCGGCGCTACATCCCTTCCTGCGAACTTTGCCAACACCAGAAAAAGCCTTCTCTCTCTCCTGCTGGGTACTTTCAGCCCATAGCTATTCCCAGCAAACCATTCTTTCATGTCGGCGTGGACCTCCTTGGTCCTTTGCCGACGTCGTCTGCGGGTAACAAGTGGGTGGCCGTAGCGACTGATTATACGACACGTTATGCCATTACGCGAGCCCTTCCTAGCAGTTGTGCAATCGATGTCGGTGACTTTTTTCTCCATCAAGTCATCTAACACCATGGTGCCCCGCATCAGCTGCGGATCGATTGAGGTTGATGTTTCCTTTTGAAAGTTGTCGATGACCTCCTCCGCTCTTGTGCAACGTCTCACAAGTTCAGCACGGCTTACCATCTGCAAACAAATGGACTTACTGAGCGCTTGAACCGTACACTCACGGACATGTTATTCATGTACGTGTCTGAGGGCCACCTGGATTGAGACTGCACATTACCATTTATCACGTTTGCTTATAATTGGTCCCATCACGACATTACTGGTTATTCTCCGTTTTATCTGTTGTAGGGCCGTCACCCGCTCTTGCCTCTCGACTCACTACTTTCTTCTGAGGCAAACTCAACTACGTTTTACGCTCACGACACCATCGTTCGCGCGGCAATGGCACGTCGCGTTGCCCGTGATCGACTCCTGGCATCTCACGCCAACCAAAAGCGCCATTACGACAGTCACCACCGCGACGCGAGTTTCAGCCCTGGCTCTCTGGTCTTGCTCTGGCTGTCTTCCCGTTGCGTTAGCTTGAGTGAAAAACTCCTGCCGTGCTACATCAGGCCTTAGAGTTTTTCGCCGAGTTACCGAAGTCACATACGAGATCTCACCACTAACTCCCAAGACTTCGTCCACCTCACTAGCTGCTGAGACTGTGCATGTTTCCCGTCTAAAGCCCTTTGTCAGATTCACTGATCCGATGCACCAAGACGGTGCTTTTGCCGCCGGAAGTTAATGTTACGTACGTGTTAGTGCCAGTGTCAACTACAGGACGCTTCTAGATATAGAAGAGGTTGAGGTGTCTTGGGCTCAGAACTGATTGTGTTGCACTTGCCTACGACGTCTGCAACTGTAACTTCAATTCTACACGTATCAATATCTTCGGTGGGCTCCTGTGCACATGCGCAGGGACACTTCGATGAGCGGCTGTGCAGTGTGCAGTAGTGACGAAGTGTGGCCACACTGAGCCATGTTCGCTTTATGAATGAATGGCCCTCTTAATCTTGCATCGGTCTATCACTCTTTCATGGCAGCAAGAACACCATGCTTGCTGCGAGATGATACGTGGTCCGTGACAAAACACACATGAGGAAAATGCGAGGTGACGGCACCACTTTAGAGGCACTTACTACGGCCTACCTCATTCTTAATCAGTAAAATGAAGTACATTAACAGAGAGCTCATCTTGTTGGTTCATCCCAAAAGGCAAACACCGACACAGTCCTCTTTCTTGTGTCTTCATTTGTGCACCCTGTCTTTTAGGACATCTAGGGAGAGAGTTGACGAAAGTGGGCCAAAATACAGAAAAACACCTTGAAAATCATTATAGCATTATCAGACATTTCAGCAGAAAATTCGAAGATAAAACTTTTGACATTGATTTTTTCATCTATGAACAAAGCTACGGAGGCGAAATTATAGACACTGGAGTTTACAGAGCATAATTTATCAGTTTGAACTAATTTATTGTTTCTCTGTAGTGTGCCTTCAAACATAAAGGTCTGAAAGAATGCCAATATAACATTAACCATTCACTCCCTACACCCTGAATTTTTTTTAGGGGCGAAGCTCCTTATGGCGTGGCTTGGGCGTCCCTCTTATGTAACCACCAGTGGCACATACCCGAAATAGGTATAACACTTGACCTCCAAGGTGGTGCCAGTGAGAGATTTCTTCTGTGCGTTGTTTAACAATAAAAAATAGTGCTCAATGTACATGCCAATGGCTGCTAATCGGGAATGAGAGACATGAGCATTCGGCTTTTAGTCAACGCGCACGCTGCGATCCCCATTAGCAGCCATTGGCATGTACATTGAGCACTATCGGACAAGAAAGGGATGCTACATTATACTCGCTGGGTGTAACCTCCTTAGCTTTAGAAAGGTTTAGCGAGCGTTGAGCCGCAGTGCAGTGAATACAATGAACTTGTATATACCATGAATGAACTGAAGGTGGTTAAAAATGAGAAGTAGATACGAAGCGCAAGCCGTAAGAAAGTAAAAGCCGAATTCTCCTGTCTCTCATTTCTCATTAGCAGCCATTGGCATGTAAATTGAGCCCTATCTGACAGGGAAAGGTTGCTACGTTATACTCGCTGGGCGTAACCTCCTTGGTTTTCGAAAGGTTTAGCGAGCGTTTGGTCGCAGTGCCATGAATACAGTGAACTAGAATATACCATGAACTCGAGGTGGTTAAAGGTGGGAAGTGGACCCAAAGCGCAGGCCGTAAGAAAGTGTGCGTGTGCCACCTCTCGTTTAGTCCTTGGAATGTCCGCTTGATGGCGGTGCTTCTATATGGGGAATATATGATAAAAAGATGCGAGATGGTGGGACTTGGAGTGTTGAATAGATGAACGAACGGACACACAAACAGATGCATGGACGGACGCATGAACGGACGCAGGGGCGGATGCATAAAAGAACGCAGGGACGGGCGCACAAACAGACGCATGGACGGTCACACAGACGGACGCATGGACGGACGAATGCTTCGCCCCACTCTCCATCATTCACTCCGTGGATATGCTGCCATTTTTTGTTAGAGAAGGAGAACATTCCAGTAAGAGGTACAGAAACTGTGAGAAATGTTTTTTTGGTGAGTTAGTCCATCAGTGAAAAGGAAAAATAAATGTAGTAAAAATGTGTACATGATAACTACATGAAGCATTGCATTTCGTCACTAAATCTCACCTGAATGTACTCACCGGTCCTGTGTGGGCACCTCGTAATTTTTTCCACACCGTTTTTCCTTATTAACTATAAAACTCATGTGCAAGTTAAATAACAACATCCAATGCATATTCAGGACTTATTCATCATGCTCGATTGAAAAAAAAAAAAAAGGTGCTAGATTAAGAAGTGTCTTGGCTACATATGGTTTGCACTGTCCCTTCTTGAAATACCCGATAGTTCTGGATTAAATACTTATACAAAAAGCATTGAGGTCTACAGTCAATCAAACAACCAACTGTTCATGACTAGCAGTCTAGAAGCAGTCAAGAAGAAGCATCAGCTAAATATAACAAGCAGCGAGACCTCCTTGGTGTATAACACTGGGAAGTAGATTCCAATGCAACGGCTGTCGCACTTAATACTGCTTGCGATTGTGTAGTAAAACTACAATGCAGATAAAGCACGAAAACTTCACTGATTAAGCACAGAACTGCGTTCTTCGAAACTGCATGCCAGCACCTTATATTAGTTGGCCTGCTCAGAATGTTGCGACTTCTGCACATTCACAGCACAACACTGTGATTCGCTGAAGAGTGAAATATCATTGATTGTCAAAAGTGAGAGAGAAAGATGCTAAAAATATTTCTAAACAGATACTTGTTTGAGCATGCTGCATGTCTTTTTTACCAAATAGCAAGTTCCTGTAGATGCAATGCTTGTTTCTAAAAATTCATTCCTGGTGTGCTGAAAAAATTTAAGTGATTCCCCTAAGACTCAGTTGAAGAAAGCAACAAAATAATTTATTGATACAATTTATTGGCTTTAAATGCAGATATAATAAATTGCAGTATGATCTAATATTTATCTTACAAATCACTATGTACAACTTGCAAGATTTACATAAGCAACCCAGAAAAGTGTGCTCCACTTAGGAGGTGGCCTCTTCTTCTTGTTGGTCAAGAAAGAGTGCCAGCGCTGCGGCCTCGATTGGAATCAGCAAGTTCTCGGTGCCGTCATGACCCTGTTAGGAAGTGACATAGCCGAGGATGAGAAACAGGAACATAAAATCTCTGACACACCATATGCAAACACCGCTCTCACCACTCATCCCTCACATGAAACTTGCACATGTCTTTTTGTGAAATCTTCGCAGGGTGCAGGTGCCAGCCAGGTTTTCAATTACCTGGAACGCGGCTATTCCCCCTCCTTTATTTCTCCAATGCCCCTGCGAACTACCAGTCTCATGGCGACAGTGCCATCATGTTTTACAAGTTTACATCAATGCTGCTATGCGCGTCACCTCACCACACCGATGCATAAGACGGCGCTCCTCTTCAATGCCTCAGAGATTAAGGGACTGAACTGTTACCTACGTGCCATGGAGGACGCACCGCAGCCAGAAAACAATAAAGTTGAGAGCTGGGCAAGTTAGTGACTGATCGTAATACCGTATGCCGAAGTGGCGCACTTTTTACGGGGACCCATTGTCCTTGTAAAAAGTGCGCTACCTTACCATACACTATAAGCTAGAAACCAACCGGTCACCTACAGACGCTACTCAATATGCATATACCACGACGCTTCTGCAATTGGATGCTATCTTCGACACCCAGGTCGATCTGATGTGCCTTCGCACCACTTTCAAGATGCTGCGGCAAGGCCCTGACAAGACCGCCGCGCACTTTATTCATAAGGCAAGACGACTCAACTGGCTATGCGATTTTGGTGCAACCATTAATGTACTGGCCTTCGTTTAGATTGCTGGCATTGCATCTCAAAAATTAGAGGAAAGTCATTAAGATAGAAAGCAGTTTCACTATCCAGAAAGCTTTTGACCTAGCAAAAAAACAGGAACGCATTGACCGTGCGTTCCAGCATTTCTTTGGCCCGCAAACCAACACCAGTGCGTCTCGATCAATCCAAGATTCCTCCTGCTGCTCTTCTGCTGTTGGTGCGCCCACCTCCTCTCTTGCCTACACTCCAACATTGCCGTCGGCTCGCACGGGTGCCTGCTGTCACTGCGGCTCAATGCAGCACTGGGCCGACTTCGTCGCTTGCCCTGCCAGGAGCCGTACTAGTTCGAGATGTAGGAAACGCAGCCACTTCAAAAGGGTCTGCCGATTAAATGAGATTCCATCTGCTGACAGACCGAGTACTTCAACAAAGACCAATACAGTTACAATACTTCAAGTGGACAATAATATTAATATTAATTAATACAAATGGTCTTCTATGGCTTCCCATACACATCAACGGCTGCATCCTCAGTATGCTCATCGACACAGGGGCTATTGTTTCCTTACTGGGTCTACAAGATTACAAGTTATTCTCTAATACCAGGTTGATTCAGTCTCAACTTGCGATTCAGAATTACTTGGAGTAGGCCATAAGGACATCATCATCATCATCATCACCAGCCTGACTACGCCCGCTGCAGGACAAAGGCCTCTGCCATGTTCCACCACTCAACTGAGTTTTGTACTTGCTGCTGCCACGTTATAAGTGGGCAGTCAAGCCCACTTATAATGAACCTGAGCGTGATGTGGCATCCTTTCGCTGTAACCAGAAGTTCGTAGTAAATGAAACACAGCTTTTATAAAAAGTTACAAGTGTGAATACAATTTTTTCCCCCTAAAAAGTGTGTGATGCACATATTTTGAATACCAAAAGCGATAACGATGTTCTCGAGCTTACTCAAAGCAGCAGCGTGCTCTTTTTCGAGGCCCGTGGCATATACAAGCTGCCTGAGGGTATTAATGCAGCCAATTGCTACAAGCACGCTAATAAGCTCTAACTTCTAAGTTTGAATTGAATTGAATTGAAGTTTATTTGTCCTGAAAGTCTTACAGGATCGGGAGCAGAGGCTAAAGGCTATATAGCCTGACATGGGACTTCTGCTCCTAAATACAGTTTGGCATGCAGGCTGCTCAATCTGCCGCATATGTTTTCAGACATAAATATATAACACAACAAATAACACACAGAAATAAATAAATAACACAACAAATAAACCATAACACAACAAAATTTAGCATGGTCTTGTTACACAATTTCAGGGAAAACATTAGAAAATCACTTCATCACGTAAGCGTCATCTGAAAAGAAACTTCATCAATACAGAATGTAAAATAAAGCATAAGAAAAGAAACTACAACAAATAACTCAAATTGATAGATGGGATGTAACAAATCAAGTATAGAAACTTTAATAAGCATACTCAATATCGTGGTTCATTAGGATGGACTTGATAATGGTGTTCGAAGGTACGGAATCGATATCTATGAGACCGTGTAAACGATTTAACATTGTGGGTATTTGATACTGAATGCGTTGCTTGCCATAACTTGTTCCTATTGCTGGGATTTTCCGGCGTTGTTGACACATGGTAAAATGAGTGTTGTCAGGCGGGTTCTGAAGACACTGTGGCTTGTTTTGTTTAATCCACTGCAGAAGCTTGAAATTATACAGTTTTGTCACTGTTAGTAATGCGTATTTTTCAAAGAGTGGTTTGGTTTTCAAGTCCCTTATAATACCATGGTATTGCTCGAATGCTCGCAAAACTCTTTTTTGAAGAACTAGTAATTTTTGATAGTTTGTTTGTGTAGTAGTACCTCATACCAAGATACCGTATGTCATTTTAGAGTAGAAAAGGGCATAATATAATTCTATTTGTAACCATTTTGATAAGACTGGGCTGAGCTTATATAAACATCCAACGGTTTTACTGAGTTCTACCGTTAGTTTTTCTATATGTGTGTTCCATGTCAAGCCTTCAGAAAACCATACACCTAGGAACTTCTGGCTGGTGACTTGCTCTATCTCTTTGCCCTGGAATAAAACAGTTGAACTATAGTTACGCGGCTTATTAGGTGGGGCAAAGACAATGTATTTCGTTTTACTAACATTTGAACTATAGTTACGCGGCTTATTAGGTGGGGCAAAGACAATGTATTTCGTTTTACTAACATTTAGTTGCAGTTTATTCAAACTAAGATACGCGGACAACTTTCGTAGGTAGTTATTAACCTGGTGTTCAAGCTCTAAAATGGATGTGCCGCTAAAGAATATGTCAGTGTCATCTGCATACATTATTAACTTGGGAGAACATGGGATATCACACAGGTCGTTTATATAAATTATGAACAATAGAGGACCAAGAATTGACCCATGTGGTACTCCTCTTGTTATGTAAGTAATGGATGCACTTTTGTTTATGCAAACATATTGATGGCGGTTTGTTAAATAGTCTTTCATTAACTCAAGAACCACACCACGTACACCACACTTGCTAAGTTTAGCCGTTAGTACTTCATGACATACCGAATCAAACACCTTTCTAAACTCTATGAACAAACCTAGTGAGTACAGTCTATGTTCGATGTTTGTGATCAGTTCATGTTTAATATCAAGCAAAGCTGCTTCACAAGATTTATTTTTTTTGAAAACCATACTGAGCCTCACTGATAACTTTATACTTGTCAAAAAATTTGTACAAGCGCACGTTTATTGCATTCTCAAATACCTTAGATAAAACAGGAAGAACGGATATTGGCCTGTAGTTTGTGAATAGCCGTTTATCACCACTCTTGAAGACTGGGCATACTCTCGCTATTTTTAGGCTGTCTGGAAAAATGCCAGTTTCAAACATTCTATTTATTATATAAACAATCACTGGAGCTATGATATCAGCTACGTAATTTAGCGGAGTTGCCTTGATCTCATCAAAGCCAGCGGCTACGTTATTTTTAATCTGGTTTATTAATTGTATTACTTCCTCTGATGTCACTGGGAATGGTGACATGGAGTTTATAAGCCCACACTATTTTAATGTAGCACAGGGAGCTATATTGCTATCGTTTTTGTATTCTGCACTGGTGACAAAGTAATCATTCATCTTATTCGCTGCGTCACTATCAGATAAGGTACCTGCATTAGTATGAAAACATAGCGGTGATGGCTCTTTTTTTTCTGACATTAGATTCTTTAACTCGTCCCACACCTTCCTAGAGTCATTTTTTATTTTCATAAATAACTTTTCATAATATGTTTCCCTCGCACGCTTTAAGTCCGTGTTCAACCTATTTCGGTATTTTTTAAACTCTGACAATGCCTCCCGGTTCCTTTACCGAACAAATGTGTGGTACATTTCATTTTTTGTTTTAATCATTTTCAATAGCTTTTCATCAATCTATGGCTTCCTTGCACGTTTGGGTTTTGGTTTTCGCAAGGTCGTTGGAAATGCTTGATTATAACATAGTCTAAGTTTTTCAAAAAATGCCTCGTATGCTGCATTTGTGTTTCTTTTCTCAAACACGCATGTCCAATCGACTGATTGAATATGTGAGCGAAACACTTCCAAGCCTGCAGCACTACTGCTACGAGATAAGGTTTCCACTGTGGTTTCACGTTTGACTTGCATATTTGGCAGTAAGCGAAAAATTGGTAAATGGTCGCTTACGTCAGCCATTAGCAGTCCAGAAAAACAGTCTCGGGAATGAATGTTTGTTACACATATGTCGAGTGAAGTTGCACTTTTTTCTGTTATTCTTGTAGCTTCCGTAATAAGATTGGTGCGTGCAAAGGAGTGTATGATTTCAATAAACTTTTTAGCTGCAGTGTTACTCGATAACATATCTATGTTGACATCCCCCATTATTACAAAAGGCATCTAAAATCGACATAGAAAAGAAAGCATACGCTCCTAATACTCAAAAAAGTCTATAAAGTTTTGTTGCCCGTTGGTGGTCGATATATTACTACAACTGTAGAGCCCACATATAACGGCCCCACTTAAAACAAACTTTCTCTTAAAACGAACAATATCCGCATGACCGTGAAAATATGCATTGGTTAAATGGCACAAAATCACACTTACAACGAACGTCTCCAAGCTCCGCTGATCGGTTACAGCGAACAGAGTCAGCAGTCTGTCGTCTTCCCGGGAAACCAATTTCGACCACCGATCAGACATCGGCGAGGTTCCCATACATTCTTATTGTTAAACGCCGACCCTGCCTCCGCGACCCTCTAGTTGCCGCTCTCCCCAACTCATGGAGGAAGGAAAGTTGTTTCCTTCCTCTATGCCCCGACTGCTTTTTGTTACGCACCCCTCCGTCTTTTGTCCCCCCGCTACTCTGGGGACCCCGCATCACCAGACGAGGCCAATGTTTTCACACTGCAACCGATCTTTCGAACACCGATCGGTCGTCTACCCTGTTTTTGATCGCTGGTACTGTCGTTGGCGACGCTGGCCTGGAGTGACCTGACCATTTGCCAGCATTGTCGGCCATCGACTGTATCCGATAGTCTGCGTCTAGTGCACGCGCGTACGCTACCCCACCGACTCTGATAATTCGCGATTCGTTTCGTGTTTAGGACTTGTTCTCGCTCATTTCGCACTCAACTGAGCATGCCTTCCGCACGCGTGCGGAAGCGGCTAATTTGTGCGGAACAAATCACGAAATATCGAAGTTCGTGAGGCCACGCAAACCCGCCGGCGCAACAAAACGATTTTTCCACCACGGCCGCCGATTCTTCTAACACCGCCGCGCGCATCTATCCGGGCGGCCATGCTTTGACTTCTGCCCGCGCAGGCACTTTTTCCAAGTTTATCTACGTGCGAGTTTCGCGGACCTTTCAAGCAACCTATCCAACCTACCTCCTTCTAGTGTGTATTGGTTTTCAAGGTCGCCCTCCCGCCACATTCTCCCCTCTCTTTATCGTAACTTCTTGCCCTTCTCTCGCAAGTCTGCTCTCCTCTCCCCTCTTGATCACAACCCCTTCGCCCGTCACCCCCGCTTCGCAACGCCTGCCACGCTGGCTCGAATAAGTTTCGTTTTCTGACTGAAAACGGGCCCAGAGCTGTTCCACACGTTCTGGCATGTGTGTCAAGTGTGCGCGTCTTGCTCGCTCTTGGTGTGCATGTGTGGTCATGATGGCGACAAGAGGACTTGCACGCTTTTAGGGGCGAAGCTCCTTGTAGCGGCACCCGTTCGTCCCTCGTAGCCGTTGTAGTAGTGTGTAATAAGTATAACATTTTGACCTCCAAGGTGGTGCCGGTGAGAAATTTCTTCTGCGCGTTGTTGAACAATAAAAGATAGTGCTCAATGTACATGCCGATGGCTGCTAAGGGGAAATGAGAGACAGGAGAATTCGGCTTTTAGTTAACACGCACGCTGCGAATTTTTTATTGTTCAACAACGCAAAGACAAGAAAGGGTTGCTACGTTATACTCGCTGGGCGTAACCTCCTAGGTTTTAGAAAGGTTTAGCGAGTGTTGGGCCGCAGTGCCATGAATACAGTGAACTAGTATATATCCATGAACACGAGGTGGTTAAAGGTGGGAAGTAGACAAGAAGCGCAAGCCGTAAAAAAGTGTGCGTGTGCCTCCTCTCGTTCAGTCCTTGGAATGTCCGCTGGATGGCGGTGCTTCTATATGAGGAATATATGATGAAAAGATGCGAGATGGTGGTACTTGGAGCGTTGAATAGGTGGAAAAATAGACACACGGACAGATGCAGGGACGGACACACGGATGGCTGCATGGACGGATGGACGGACGCATGGACGGATGCAGGAGCAGATGCATGGACGAAAGCAGGGACGGGCGGATCGACGCAAGGGCGGCCACACAGACGCACGCATGGATGGACGGAAGCAAGAACGAATGGACGGACGGATGCTTCGCCCCACTATCCATCATTCACTCCGTGGATATGCTGCCATATTTTTCCTGCCGCTCAACAGAACGTCTAAAGCGTAACCTCTAGCTTGAGCGTAATCCGCGCGATAGGTGTCGCGTTGCGGAGCGCTTGCTCATAGTTGTTGACCACCTGGCAGCCAACTTGCTGCTTCGGGCGTCCCGGTATTCAGCTGTGGAGATGGTGAATATTTCGTGGGCAACGGTGACAACATGCGCGCGAAAATGTTTTCGCGCGGCCGACTTCGTCGATGTCGGGCTTGATGCCGAGCATGAAGCTTCCGAACTGTGGCGACGATTTGTGGCAGTGCGTCGTCGACTCCGACCTGGGAGAGCGAAGGGACATCTGTTGCGATGGTTTAATTACGGCCGATGATGATGCCGACAATGCGGAACCGTGCACGGATTGGGGCATCGTGAATGAAGTACATGGACATCTGGTGCACAGCCTCCCCCAACGACGTGCCCATTCTGCGTTGCCCCAGCCACAGAGGCAACGCTTGATCACCTATTGGGAACCTGCCCGGGCCTTCACCAGGCTCGCACTCGCCACCTACGCGGCCTTCACCACCACCCCGGCCGACCACCTGACTTGACGCGCTGGACGCACGGTCCACTGCATCGACAACTCCTGGCCTTCATACAGGAAACAAAACTTTTCCTTTTTATTTAACTGATGCCGTAGGGCATACTAGCGCCAATAAAAAAAAAAAAAAAAAAAAAAAAAAGTGAATGAAGTACGTGGCGAGAGCGATTCGGAGGAATCGAATTGCGAGAACGACGAAACTTTGGAGCCAGTGCCTCATGCAGCTTATGCCACAGACCTCGGTGAACGATCACACTGCCATTTTAAGTGAACTCGAGACCGCCCTTATCGCTTCTGCTCTTCGAAACACATGCATCACGGACATTTGGGGCAAAAAAAAGTTTGTGTGTTTCACTCGCAACATTTTTTAAAAGCTGTGTTTCATTTATTACGAACTTCGGGATACAGTGAACGGATGCCGCGTGACGCTCAGGTTCGTTATAAGCGGGCTCGACTGTAATTGCATGGACAAAATGATATTTAATAAACTTATTCAGTTTTTTCTGCAGATTACAAATCTTTGAGTAGATTTTCAATGGCTGCATTAGAAGAAAAGGTATACCATTACAACATTTTCTTGCATAATTCATACAGGGCTTTATGACAAATTCTCTTGATGAAACACAAATAAAATTATGCACCAAAGTTGTCAGAAAGCTGTTTTGAGCCAATGATGCTATTTATTTACTGATAATGTTGTTTACCTAATTATAATGCTCAATACTAATCTTAAAAATATGAACAAAAAATTTTCACTCATATTTGCATTCGTTTAGTTTGCATTCGATGTTCGATGAAAACAATCAAATAAGCATTATCGGCTAGACCAGCTCTCTGGCAGTCTTGCCACATATCTTGTTTTTGTGTTTGACAAAGCAAAGTTGTCAAAAAGCCCTGTACGAATACGCTCAAAAAAATAACATATCTTTTGTTCTAATGCCTATATTATATAACATAAATCTACTTGGAGATTTGGGATCTGCAGCAAAAATTGAATAATTGTATCAAAATTTGTTCAGTTAATGTAACTAATAAAGAATCTTTTTCTCGAGACCCTCATCTCCCTCTAAGTACTGCATATGCAGTGAACGAAATGCTGCTAGAGCACTAGAACCATGTCATGTTGATTATGACGTACATGACATGCATGACACGATTTTCATGTCACAGCCTACCATTTACATTCGTCCTGCACTGTGTCATGACACACCAATTTTAATTATATCAATTTAACATATTGGAAATGAACCAAACATTACAGGATGCCAGACAAATGGCTGGGTGTACAGACAGAAAAATAAATAGGTGAATACGCTCAAAATGCCTGGTGTTAGCTAAGAAACACTTTGCATTTAAAATGATGCAATGTTAAGCTGACACATTAGCAATTTCTTAGCATCAAAGGCAAGAAAAAAACAATGAATAAAATACCTTCTTCATTTTCAGCAACATGTGGTCAAGGAACTCCCTCAGTTGGGCTCGAAGTGTGAGGTCGCTGTTAACAAGGAAAGCCTCCCGGCAGCGGTGGTAACAGTCATGGAAAGACATTCCTGGGAAAAGCACAGTCCATCACATACCGACACACTTCTTTATTCGGGCCCTGAAACACATTATCAACACATAAAAAAACACTGCTGTTCTTTACATAAGCTCCCAACAAATATTTGAGCGAAACACATTATGGCACTCAAAGCAACCAAGAACTTACAAGTTTCTGTTAAAAAGAAACACCACCTCTCACTTCTCCTAACAAGTATTGGGTGACCTTGTGATCATGATAATATATTAGGCATAAAAGGGCTACAGTTAAACCCCTTTATAAGAGGCATGCTCCAGGCAGCAATTCTTGTTTTTTATAATCAGGGTACCTCGTATGCATTTTCGTATGAACCCGTATGTTACTGTAGGTGCACTGGTATCTCTCATATTAGTGTCTCTTATAAGGGGGTTCGACTGCATTGCCAATTTTTAAAAGAGGGTAATTTCGAGGGCTTGTTTCTTTGTTTGTTACAATCTCAATGAAAACCAACAGATAATGAAGCCAAGAAAGGTACTAGGGATGTTAATTGCACAGTGTTGTAATAATACGGTCGCTTCACACAAAAAAGTGGCCGAGCTGAAGTGCAGAACAAACACTTTTCTGTACTCTTTTTTTCCTCGGACAGTTGTCGAATGGAACCCCTTACCTTCCAATGCGATAGAACACCACAACATTGATTCTTTATTGCATGCGATAAGAGATATGGCTCCGTAGGCACCACTGCACTTGAGGGATTATGTGAAATCATGTATTTGCTTGGTATGCGATGTTCAAATGGATGCTGAAACTGTTTTTGTATGCAATGCGAGTATGATCATGATGATATGTGGGGTTTAACGTCCCCAAACCACCATATGATTATGAGAGACGCCGTAGCGGAGGGCTCCGGAAATTTTGTCCACTTGGGGTTCTTTAACGTGCGCCCAAATCTGAGCACACAGGCCTACACCATTTCCGCCTCCATGGGAAATGCAGCCGCCACATCCGGAATTCGAACCCGCGACCTGCGGGTCAGCAGCCGAGTACCTTAGCCGTATGCAATGCGAGTACAAGATCAGTGCTTGTATGTGCTTTATGTTGTGTGGATATTTGTAATATGTGTGGTTTGGGCTTTGTGAGCACATACTGCCACAGATTTTGTTTCATTTTTTTGTTATTGCATATTTGCCAATGTCAGTGTTTTGCAGTATATTACTTCATGTACTTTCTTTTCTTTCATCTCCTTTTTTTTTTTTTTCGACCTTGTGTTGTGTCAACTATTTATGCCCCACCCCTGCCTAAGGCCTTCATGAAAAGCCAGCAGCATGTAACAAAATAAAAAAATGAATAAAAAGTATTTATGATGTAGATATGAAGGAAAAGGCAACTTGGTGCCAGCCGACTAAACCTGCCACCTTCGCACACCGCGCCCTACGCTCTACCAATTGAACAATGGCAGCAGTCATCTACATTACTTTGCCAAGCATTTGTGTGACTGCAAACCTGAGAGTGTTAGTGCCGTTCATAGCCTGGTGAGTGTGAAACACTCTCTTTTTGTCGGTTGGCATCACACAGCATGTGAGCTTCAAAACATTGTAGTACAAAGAACCAATGAGGCCTTACATCAAGTCTGGTGGAACGAGACCCTCGCTACGAATGAATATAACAAGGGAATTTCATTCCCTCCATGGTTTGCATGCAGATAAATACTCGATAAAGTGTATGAGGACTACTGCTGTAGCTCAATAGGTTTGATTATTGATTTATTGATATATCGAGTTTAATATTTCGACCACCTGGGGTTCTTTGAAGTGCACCCAAATCTGAACACAAAGGCCTACAGCATTTTCGCCTCCATCGAAGATACAGCTGCCGCAGCCGGGATTCCTCGCGACCTGCGATTCAGCAGTCCAGTAGCTTAGCCACTAGAGCACCGCGGTGGCCCAAGATGCTATGGAAGAGAGAATGACAGACACTACAAGAATTAGTTCAGAAGTTGAACATTTCAGGGCTGACAAATATGGTTTGACAAATACGATGGGCTGGTCATGACATGAATAATGTCACAATCTTGTCGCGTACGTCGTCAAAAACTTTTTAAAAAACAGTGGCACATACCCGAGGGTTGGTATGTGCCACTGGTATGAGGGTACGTATCACAGGTGATAGATATTTTACATCTACCCAGGAACGGCCAAAACACACATAGGTAATGTAAACGCTTGAGCATTAAGAAAATGCTGACATAGGCAGAGTTGACCGAACAAATTCAAAGAATAAATGTCATTGTCCCAGCAGCAGTGGAACGCTAGCATTCTGTGAGGCAATCAAGTATTCTATTACAGAGCCACACCAGGTCTCGGAAATACTTTGTAAACAGACCTTAATGTTTGTGAAATGTCAACTCTGGTTGTAGTAATGCGCGCTGACTTGTTTGATACTTTTCAGCCATTGGACAGGCAAAATCACAAGTCACGCAAACCTGCCAGACCGTTGCTGAAAGAACGTCACGAGGCACCGCTAGTACTGCGCTGACCTGTACTGTGAGAAGGTGGTGGAGTGGTCGCCAGGTCTTACTGGCCATCAAATTTTATAAACATTACATATGCACCCCTATGATACAGCTGTCATGTTGAGTCAATATCAATTGTAATTAAGCGCCATCTGCTGAGGTTGATTTGGGTAACAGTGTTAAGGGCTGCCATCCTCGTGAGCCCCAGTGAAAAAACCAGCACTTCTTATCAGCTCACCGCTTCTGGTGCTGTAAATAGCCATGTTGCTGTTGGCATCGTTATGCAATTGCAAAGAACTGCCAATATAAAACATATGCGGCTGGTCAACATGTGTGCGCGGATTTGTACATGTATTGAGCGCTACTTCATAATGTGTCGCTCAATAAAAAAATTATAACACATTCACCTTGCATCCGCATGTTTCGCTTAACATTGATTCCCAAAGTATGGGGGTCACCAAGTTTTTCCCGAGGAGGATACACTCAAAGCACACACATCGTTTCATTCTTCATCGCCAGTGAGTCCCTCTATTTGGAGATGGCTCATTCAGCGTCACCAAAGCATGAGACCATGTAGCCTCAGGCGATGCTGTGCTGCGAGGCGCTAGTTCCTTATAGTATTTAGGCAGATGTTTCAAACTGACGAAAAATTGTCCTAAGTTAATGACGCTAGCATTGATTATACGATGCGCTGAAGTATTTACGATTCTATTTTGGCCTTAGCATACACAAAGCTACAAATTACTACAAATAAAGCTTTCACTGTGAGGGGTTCTTTAATATCAAGGGCATTACAGTCTATCCTTAGTATATAAAACTCAGGTATATTGAATTATTGACTATTTTAACAGTTGAGAACTCCGCTTGAATTTCTCAAGCAAAAATATGGGACCGGTGCACCCATTTATCGAACTCCTGCACAGCGGGAACTCTTGTACGTCAAAGGCTGCACCACACTGAAGCCCAGAAAGTTAATTTTTCCTAAAAAAAAAAAAAAAAAAAAAAGATGTGATCAATTTTCGTTCGCGTTATAAAAAGTTCTGAACGCTTTTCGCATAAGAGTGACAAAAAGGCCGTGTTATTCCATCGCGCTGATCGGGTTCGTTGCACGGTGCTTGCAAGTGCATCAGTATGTTTGATGCGCAATCTGCAGGTCTTAATGCGCGGGCACAGTGCTTTTCAAAAAGACCGATTGCCGAGGACACCAAAATGAGAATGCTAAGTGACTCGGCAATCTAGTTGCAATGTTCACATTCCCTTCCTCGTTTGCGCACAGTGGCATGCGAGCCTGAAAAGCATGGCCTTCGATATGTGCAACCTTGTGACGCTTTTTAGTGTTTTCGGTTTCAAAACGCACGTCTCGGAGGCTACGCTTTTTTAAGCTTTTTCGCATCAAAGCAGCTGAAAGCGGCGGCTGCCAGTTACAACGCCACAAGTGACATTGATATCGCCAATATGTCAACCGTTGGCGACGGTGGGAACTGGGTGTTGTCTTTCGCACCTTGTGGACCTGTGTACTTCTCACCTTGTTCCTAATAAATTCTCATTTGGGAGTTGAGCTGAACATTCACCCCTACGTAGTGATAAAAATTGTGACTGACGCTTGAAACGACATCAAGCAAAGCTCCGCCGTACACTGTCCTTGCGGGTCAGGTGACGACTTCGAGTGTGTCATGACCGCTGACAAAGGCGTACAGTGCCTCAGAGAATTCTGCGACTTATTAGCATTTCCAAGCACCGTCGTGGAACGTGAGCGACTTCATTGGTGCAGATCACGACGCAGCTGTTTCTGACAGCATCGATGCTGAGATCAGGGCTGCCGTTACTGCTGCCGCAGAAGTGTACCCGCGCAGCGGTTATGATTATGCCAACACCTTCGCTGCCACAGCTAACCAACATTTTGCCGCGCTACAAAGCTTGCATCGGCGTTCTGCGTCAATGAACGCTGTTGTAGCCGAAGGTGCTGAATTCGCTTGTTTGAAAAGCTTCAATTGAGGATGATTTGAACTTGACGTCGTGCAAGAAGCAAGACTAGTTTATGGACTATTTTCATGTCAAATAAACTGCAGTAACTTGCAGCTCACACCTTGTTCTTCATTATACTGTGAGCAAATCATTATGTTAGCACTTCTAACAATTTCCAAGGCCTAAAATGCTTAAATCTAGGCCTTAAATACACATATCTTGTATTTCGAATTATCAATAGTATATCGAACTATCTCACGATCCCCTTCGAGTTCGATATATCCGGGATCGACTGTACCACTCAAGAACTGATGACAATATAGCGTTGGTATGCAAGTTTCCTGCAGTAGAACACTTGCGACACCAGTCCCTTAATGGGGAAAGGCACGTTCCACAGCAGTGATTATACATGGCACCATCACTCTGCTACAACGGCACTTTCAGATTGGAGTAGCCACAGATGAGATGCATTTCTACATTATCGTGAATGAGGCATGCCGGTAATGCTCACCACGTCTGATACGAAACCAAAGCCCTTTCAGTATGCCACCTCTGAGTCGGATGTGAATTGCTTAGCTGAATGAATCAATGCAGCACTCAGTTAATGCCCAGTTGGTGCATGTCGTCAGCACTTACCCGCATACGATGGCGACTCTGTGTTGTCAAGCTGATGTCTTGCGATGAGGAGGAATATCTTGCGTGCATTTGGAGTCAAACTGGAGAATACGTGCTTCAGTGAACTGAGTGCGTTGGAGGCAGAGCTCTTGAGGGGCTCCAGGCTGGATTCCAGAGCATAAGGCTCGAATGTCGTTGCATTGATCCACACAAATCGGAACCGCCGTGATGTCTCTTGATTCCACACTGCATTAAGACATGAAGCATGACTCAGCCCATCAACACGAATCTTCACTGCCCTAAGTTGGCCAGGTCAAAAAGAATGAAGTGGAAAAATAAAGATCAGCACATAAATCTGTGCATTCATTAACTTTCAGTGCATATTTATTTCTCAAAACCATGAACAACGCCTACCTCTATCACCCAGCTGACTGATATCACTGCTTTGAATGCAATGTTTACTTTACAGAGAAAGTTGCACTAATAAAGAAAAAACACCACAAAAAAGGAACGCTAAAACAGGTCTAGCACAAACTACTAACTGTTTTATTGTCTGTAAATCGTCGTTTAAATAACGAAACCAAACATAGCTGCGCAGACACACCAAGGTACATCACGTGCTAATGCACCTTATTCATCGAAAAGGACACTTCTACACCACACAGCGGCATCGAGGCCTCACTCACGCAGCTATCACTTTTCATGTTAATGAAGAACGCTTCCAAAATCTCACGAGCACCTGTATTTTTGCTATCACTCAGCATCTTAGTCTGCTGAAATCGTGCTTCACATTCACAGGCTGCACAGTGGGCAGGCAAATTACTAATTTCGTTATTTTTGATTGACTGCTGGTGTTCCCGTAAATGGTCGTTTACACAGCAACCTGTGTAGTCCACATAAGAATTGCCGCAGGAAAGCAGAATCTCGTATACCACTCCCACATTGCCTTGCACCATCGGGTTGGCATGCTTCTTGCTACAGAGGCTATTGTACTATTTGCTGCTCGAAATTTACAAGCACAACCTTGAAAGTTTCTTGCGTGGGGAAAACACCATGCCAACTCCATGGCGGTTGGCAACTTTCTTCAGGTTGTGTGTTACCCTGTGTAAGTAGGGTAACACTATCGGCTTCTCCTGCCCTATGGGTGCGTCTTTCAGGCCGCTGCGTAAACGACCATTTCATTCATTCATTCATTTTATTACCTCAAAGGTCCCGGTTGGGATATTACATGAGGGAGTGGGTATTACAAAGGCTAACAATATAATGGCAGTTATGATAGGATAGTTTCGATGAGCCGTTTAAATGCTTGGGTGTCGATGATGGTGGCGACTTCGGTGGGCAGGTCATTCCAGTCTTGGGCTGTGCGCAGGAAAAACGATTGCTGAAAGGTCACAGTATGGGCTTGTGGTGGATATACTGCGTTACAGTGACTGATGCGGGAAATGCGGTGGGCTCTTCTGATGTATGGGTTATCTCAAGGCAAAGAATGGAAGAATTTATGATAAAGGTTAAGACGTGCGATTTTGCGACGCTTAGCCAGATCGGATAAGTTAATCTCTGCTTTTAGTGCCGAGATGCTTGATGTGTATGAATAGTTAGACAGTATAAACCGTGTCGCACGGTTCTGGACAGATTCGAGGGCATAAGTGAGGTTAATGTGGTGAGGGTCAAAAATCGCGTTAGCATATTCTAGCTTTGGCCGGACAAAGGTTTCGAAGGCAATTTTTTTAATAGAAGGAGGAGCGAGCGAAAGGTTACGGCGTATATACCCTAGAGTACGATTAGCAGAATTGATTATGTGGTTAATATGACAGGTCCAAGTTAGGTCACGCGAGATGTACACACCAAGATATTTAAATGAATCGACTGTAGTAATCTGGTTGTTATTGATGCTGTAGTTATAAACAACGTGCTGTTGACGACGGTGAATAGACATTAACACAGTTTTAGTTACTTTCAAGGACATGAGCCAAGTGTTACACCAGTTTTGTATGCCGGTGAGGTCACATTGTAGTATGGAATGATCAGAGGGGTTATTAATTGCGCGGTAAACAACACAATCATCTGCGAATAGACGGATGTGAGAAGAAATATTACAGGGGAGGTCATTAATGTATATCAAGAAGAGAAGGGGACCAAGTCAATAAAGGAGCACCAGCTGTCAATAAAAAATAACGAAATGGGTAATTTGCCTACCCACTGCGCAGCCTGTGGATGTGAAGCACGATTTCAGGAGACTAAAATACTCGGTCATAGCAGAAACCCGTGTACTCGAGAGGTTTTGGAAGCGTTCTCCAGCAACATGAAAAGTGATAGCTGTGTAAGTGAGGCCTCGATATTGCTCTACAGTGCAGAAGTGACCTTTTTGATGAATAAGTTGTGTTAGCCCGTGATGTACCTTAGTGCATTTGTGCAGCTATGTTTGGTTTTCCTATTTAAGAGGGCAGACTGGTCTTCGAGACCAAAAAGGTACAAAAAAATTTATTTTTTAAAATTGACATATTTGGCTTCTGCAAGTTTTTTTTATCTCTCAGCAAATTTTCACCCAACAGGAAATCATAATTTTTTATTGTAATGTCATTCTGACTGCCCAGAGTCTTGGTGCTAGCACAATGCAGAACCTGCAAAAAGCTTACTTGAGACTTCTTTACAATTTGCCAGCACCAGTGTCAGAAGCTGTACTGCCAATTTATGAGCACCTTTAAAACACGCACACCATAATTGGTGTTTTTTTAAGGAACTGGGTGTTATCAGTTTTCTTCCATTTTTCTCAAAAAACTAAATTTACTACTATTCTATTTTGAGGCCTCAATATCTCTACAGCTAGGGTAGGTACTACAACAATTACTCTTCTAGCAATGGAAATTTGCACATGTAGAGAATGTAAGTATGAGAGCAGAATTTAGAGCAATAGCCTTTCAATTATTTACTTATCCAAACTGTAACACAATTCCAGTTATTTTTGAAAATGAAAAGATCTCTTGCATACTTTCGATCTCCTGTCATTAGTCTATGTTGCCATATCTTAAATATCACACTTGATTAAGTGCTTTTTTTATAGGTGTTAACTTAAGTTATCTTAGGAACAAGATGAGTTACATGAAAAAGTAATTACATATTTGAAATCAGCAGAAAAAATTGCACAAGCATGTGCAGTCCATTAAGATCACTGAAGGAATAAAAAAAAAAGTCACAACTTTGCCGCAAAGACGAAGCAATGAACATGATAGCAACAAATTTGAAGGTCACGCACAGAATGGCAAGCAGATCGAAACGTGCCCCGTGTGTCTCACGCACAAACGACGCATGAAATGTACCCACAGGTACCGATGAACGCGAATAAGCGTCTCAGTTGTTACTTCGCTGTGTCTGAAAAGCGCGCCCTTTTCGCAAACGGAGGCTGTGCAATAATTGCAGAGACCTTTGTGCGCCCCGTAGCTACAAGAGAATCGTTACAAGCTTAACGCCAGCCAAGACGTATGATTCTCCCCACTGGGAGATAAGGTCGCGCGAGAGATCGTCTACTCCCCTCCTCTCCAAGGGCCAAAGTACACGTGAGAAATGAGAGCTGCCGTGCGCTCATTGCTCCATTTTGCTGATAGTGCTGAAAACACAATAGTACCCCCCCCCCCCCCCTGTCAAGATGCCCGCTAACAGCGGTAAGTGGTACGTTGAAGGAGGTATCTCTCGGTGGCACAGTGGTTAATGCCATGCATTCACGACGCGGAGGTCCTATGTTCTTTTCTGGATATTTTTTCTTTCTTGTGTTTTCATATATACAGATACGTATATATACGGTGCATGACGCCGACGCCAACGCCAATGACAAAATCCAGCTTAGTGTGTCCATATAATTGCTATCGCAAAAAAAATATCCAAGATGAGTCCTCCCCCTTAACTGATGATCTACGGTCAATAAAACAGTTGCTAGTTTGCGCTTGACCTGTTTAAGTGTTCCTTCTTCGTGGTCTTTTCTTTATTAGCACAATTTTTTCCTGTAAAGTAATGAGCCAACTAGCCCTTCAAGACGTCTTGAGCAATGTTTACTCTTGGCAGGATTTTTTTCTCTTTCTTCTTTTTCTTATTATTGTGTATACTGTGACCCAGTCACTTCTGTGATGCCGGCGGATCCTGAAGGTACTAAAATTTCAAAAAAAAGAAATGCAAAGTACTGATGCACCAACACGGCATTCACGTTTCGAGTGAGAATAGAGCAAATTACCGAAAGAAATAGACAAATAATACCGTAATCACTCGAATCTAACGCGCACCTTTTTTCCGGTTAAGCGAGTTCATAAATCGCATGCGTGTTAACATTGAGTGCGAAAAAAAAATTAATACGGTCATTCTATTGCTATTGGCATTTCCAAAATGGCCGCCCCCTCAAGCTTTGGGCATAGCGCGTCGGCCATTACTGCCTATGTGTTTCCCATGTGCGGCACTTCGTACGTGTGCTGAGGAGTTCGTCATCTAGTAGTGCATTAGAATCGACGGCGTGGAAGGGCCGACTCCCCAAACTCGAGTGCACCACGATGCCGCTTTTAAAAGAAAAGTCATCGCGTGTGCAGAAACGGACGGAAATCGGGCCGCATCGGGGTCGTTCGGAGTTCCCGAAACGTGCGTGCGGGACCGGCGGAAACAAAAGCAGAAGATTGTCGACAGCAAAGCTTCACGCAAAGGCTTCTGTGGACCACAGCAGGGTCGGTTTCCACAAATTAAAGAGCTGCTCAGCGAGTATGTGCTTGAGCAGCGAGCGGCACAGCGGCCCGTGACGACAGAACTGCTCCAAGTGCGGGCTATGCAATTAGTCTTAGAAAAAGGTCTAATGCGGAGCCAGTTTAAAGCGAGCAGGTGCTGGCTAACTAACTTTATGAAGAGGAAAGGCTTTTTCCTCCGAAGGGGAACATGAATATGCGAAAAGTTTTGCGGAGGAGTACGATGAAAAGCTTCACAGTTTTCAGAGGTTCGTCCTAAACTTGCGGCGCAACAACGGCTACCTGCTCGGGCAAATCGGGAATGCCGATCAGACGCCTCTTTACTTCGACATGCCTGGCACCACAACCGTCGAGAAGAAGGGGGCGAAGCAAGTTCGCGTGCTGACATTGGTCCACGGTAAAACTACAGTGACGGCAATGCTCTGTTACACGTCAGATGGGTACAAGCTTCGCCCGTACGTCATATTTAAATGGAACACGCTCCCGAAAGAAGTAGTTTTTTCGAGTGGTGTGATCAAGCGGGCCAGCGAGAAAAATGGGTGCGCGTTGCAATTGATGTCTTACGTTTTTTTGTTTTTTTTCGCGGTGGAAATCGGGTGCACGTTACAATCGAGGGCGCGGTAGAATCGAGTAAATACGGTACATTCCTTTCATGAATGAACACAGGAGGCACCATCATGGACAGCAAAATAAAATTATGTGAGTAATTAGGCAAGTTTCTTACTTCCTGTTTTTATGTTGTTGGTACTCAAGCGCACTTTGATTCCCTATTTATCCTTTCCTTTATCCTTGTCCATGCCAAGAAAAAGTGGCATTTATGCAAGCACTTCCTTTAATACTATAAACTTTGAACAGTATCACTCGTCCAGTCATTGTAATTTTGTTTAACAATTTGACTCTTTCACAAGGTGTTAGTGTTAAAGGAGCCCAATGATAATTTTTATAGTGCCTTGCGCGAGTGTTCAGCTCTGAGTATTATGATAAAGGGAAAAGAAACATAAAATACTGCGCATGGGAAGTGATGTTCGAAAGCCGAGCAGACAAAAAAGAAAAATATTGCTTTCCACATTTTACTCTTTGAGCTCCCAATAAACGCGCACCTATGACAGATATGTGACACACACCTCATGGCAATTTTTGCAAGTCACTGCACAGTACGCCTAGTGCTAGTGTTGCAACTTTGTTCGAAACATCGTGTGTAAATAAAAACTCATGTTACATAGGATTTGGCACATCAAGCCAATCAGAATGCACAGCGATTTTCGTCCTAGTCGAATGACCAAACATCCTTCCAAAAAAAAGTTTCAAATAGGCATAATGTTAACTCGCTTTTCAATGCCTCTTACAAGCCGTCTTTGATATGTGCACTCACGAAATATAAGAACAGGCACCCCTCATGCACACTAATCACAAAGCCTGTTGCACTGACTGTACAAGTACTAATGTGGTGCATCAATTTCCCGTGAGCTGTGCAAAAGTTTCTATTGGTCAAACAGGACAGCGTTTTAATGAGTGTGCTTGACCACACGGCAACAACGTAATGAATGAATATGGTAGCCATTTATTCGACTATTGCAAGAAGTGCGCATTTGTTCCCATGCTTGAAAAAACTAAATTTATGTGAAAAGGAAAATCTAAGACAAAAAGAGAAATTTTACAGCACGTTTTGGATCAGCTATGAAGGTCACAATTGTGTTAGTTCACCCTCTCTTCAGCTATATTCAAAAAAGATTGCTATTATGATTGGTGAGTGTCTGATGTGCGCATTTTTATTTTAGGAATGCATGAAAGGCTGGTTTTTTTGTAATACACAATTCAGTTGGCGCTCAGTACTTGTCCCGCAGTCTTTGTTGTCCTTGTTCCATTCGCGGCACTATAACTTCCTTTGCTACAAAAAGACACCTTGACAATGAGCATTAGATTACCCAGAAATCAAAAAAACATTTATGCTTACATAAAGCAGCGTTGATGTGGTCCACCGAAGCAATTATGTGAATGTGACAAGCAGTTGAAAGTGTGGAGAGTATTTCTTGGACTTTGGCGCTCCTCAGACCCATGCCATCAATGTTGTTGATCAAAATGAAAATGTCTTCAGCATCTGACGAGACAAATGGTGGAGGCAGGCACACTGAGGCTGGGTCATGGCAGCTAAGCAAAAACTCATTGGAAATAAACAAGGAGCGAGACATAGCGCTATCAAATGTACCTTTCAATTTAGCATGTGAGGAAATGAAAACTAGCCCCACCATTTCCAACTCATTTTGCCATCAGTAGAAATGTGATTGCCTTAGCAATGTGAAGCCACTTCTTTCAGATGCAGTAAGCACAGCTGTATACAATCAGACGGAGCATCAGAAGCAAAAGCACTAGTTAAACAACAACAACTGAAAATTTATTGCATTACATCTTGAAACACTCAAGATTAAACCTACAGCGGGAATTTGTCCACGTGATTTTAATGGCAACCATAAAATACAATGCATTATTCGAAATTGCATGCCATCAATCGCATGCCTCTAAAGTACAGCGGGAATTTGCCCACGTGATTTTAATGGCAACCATAAAATACAATGCATTATTCGAAATTGCATGCCAACTAAAGCTTCAGAAAGTCTAACACCAAATGTTGGAAGCTTTGCACACATCCCTGGTCAAGTGCTTATGAATAAAATTGAGCCTACTCAAGGTTTTCTTTAACGTGGGGCAGATGCTTGACAGAAAGTAGCACTGCTTCTGGAATCACCATGCAACTGGCCTGAAAGGACCACGTAGTTCACTGGTACGTGCTGTCACCTGATTCTTATTAACAGCGTCGTCATCAACAAAATTCATCTCCAGCAAAATGACCATGGCTCTCTCCTAAAGGCAATTTCTTTGCACTGCTTGCTGCTACAGAATCTGCATGGATGCTACTATTATGAGATGTAACTGCATTAGACAAGATTGAAGAACTATGAAACTTAGAAACATATAGCAGGGATGATTGATTGATTAGTGGGGTTTAACGTCCCGAAACCACCATATGATTATGAGAGACGCCGTACTGGGGGGCTTCAGAAATTTAGACCACCTGGGCTTCTTTAACGTGCACCAAAATTTGAGCACACAGACTTACAACATTTTCGCCTACATCGGAAATGCAGCCGCTGCAGCTAGGATTCGATCTTGCGACCTGCGGGTCAGCAGCCGAGTACCTTAGCCACTAAATCACCACAGCGGGGCCGAAACATATAACAGTGAGAGTCCATTTTTGCAGACATATTGTCCAGTTTCATGTAAAAATAATATTGTATTACTAAGCGAACCACACAAACATACATTGCTCCTATGGGTGAAGTGGGAAAAGTTAAAAAGAACTATTATCCAAGAAGGGATATTGCGTAGTAACATATAAACACGATTACACTGCTTCAAGCATATAACAGGGTGCTTGCTTTCTGTGGCGATAATAGGTTGTGCCGCAGGTTCAGTTTACAATCAGCGATGTTACTTTCGTAATGCTTCACATTCTTTAGATTATTTTCCCATTTGCTACGCCTTCTAAACACACTAAACTTGTAAGAATTGCTGAACACCGTTATATTTTGCACAAGGTTTAAGGAGAGCGTACGTGGTGTCCACATTTTTCAAACCTGCAAAGCTTACAGAAGAATTGAGAAGCCTTCACCCATTTCGCAGCTGTACACTTTTCATGCCTTTGAAGAGGCAACAAACATGGTGAAACAAAATATTTAATGTATAGAATTAATTGGCACCTACAAGGTCACACTCGGCTTTCACTAACAAAGTTAGCTAATGGTTTATCCATAAGGGGAAGGCAAATACACTATTGCCCTTCTGGAGCAGAGAAAAAACAATATCACAACAACTACAAACGTTACACATTTGTAGACAACGGGTACCATATTTACACGATAAAAATGTAGGTCAACCCCCTATAATCGCATGGCAAAAAAAGAGAGAAGAGGAACAAGAACAAAGCATAAGTTTGAGGACTCGCTTCCTTTGTTAGGCACAATATTTAATTGATTAAAAAAAGGTGCTCAAGCACATTTATTTTTAAAAAATTATTTACGATGTATAAAAAAAACAAATTTTCGTGTGCCAAGGCTGCTTTATGACAGTGCTTGAACACCTGGTCTAGAAGAAATACGCCAGAGATTGTTTGCAGAAAGACTTTACAACTGAAATCACTTTTCAATTTTAGGTCGACCCCCAACTTTAGATATCAATTAAGACAAAATGGGTCAACCTATAATTGGGTACACACAATTTATTCTCAAGCTGCTCATAAAGAAAGGCACAGTTTATTTTATCACTTCTCGTTTTGTGTGTGTGTGTGTGTGTGTGTGTGTGTGTGTGTGTGTGTGGGCTGTGTGTGTACACACACACAGCCCAATGCTCTGCATTGGGCAGTACAGCCCAATGCACTGCTAAAGGGTGCACACCGTTTGGATTCTGCCATCCATATAGCTGAGATATGATGCAACGACTCAAGGTACGTACTTTATTAATATGCATAAACAAACAATTTTCTCTGATTTGTGCTTAGTACTAGAGCTGTGCAAATAGCAATGTTTTGGGTGCTAAGTGAATTATATAAATTCACTTCGCACCCAAAATATTGCTATTCGCACCCAAAATATTGCTCGGGATAATATTGAAGAGTGAGTGCGAATCAAATCAAATATTTTTTTAATGTTTCTCAAATATTTAACGAATATTTTTCTACTTCAAAGCAAAAGTACAGAAAAAAAAAACGTGTGAGAAAAAATGTTATCAAGATTTGTCTTATGAAACAACAGCATGAAAGTGTTTCTTTTGGCTACGTTTGGGATGTGCTGGCAAGGTAGTGTTTCATGGCTGTCTCGTCAAGAGTGAGGCCATGCCAAGAACGAATTTCATTTATGTAGTACATGATTTGTTGCAACAATAGTGTTGCTGACAACACTTTACACGTGAAAGGCAAATATGCTATTTCCTCAGCCTCTCCTTCTCTCCCAACTTTTATAGAGAACCAACTGATGTGGCGGACAAAGGTGTACTCCCTTCAAGTCCACAGTTCCATATCTGCCTTGCAGACATCTGAAATTTTGGATGTTGAAAATCTTCTGCGTTTGTTTCTTGAACTTCCTGCTCGAATTTCAGGTCCAAAACAGCATTAACTGAGCCACCACCTCTGCCACAACTTTAATCTCTATGTTGGAAGCAGCGTCTTCTTGAGACAACACATTCGCGAGCGTAGCAGAGCTTTGCTACAATACGACAATGCAACGTGGTCAAGCATAATTAAAAAAAAATATTTGAAGGGGCCACTGTTTATCTATCGTACGTTGACGGTATTTGTCTAAGAAAAGTTTCAATAGCTAGAATAGTAACATCCTACAGGAATCGAATTGAACAGCAAACACTATACAAAAAATATAATAAATTATGAATATTCACACACACACACTTATTACTAATAGCTGTACATTAAATTTTCAATGATACTACTTTTAATAATAGACGGCTTTTTTTTCTTCACTCGAGCTGTACTTTGCTCCATCATTGTGGTCAGCTAGGTGAACAAATATTCCAATTTCTTTAGGAAAAAAAAAAAGAGAAGCCTGGAAAATACTTTACGTTAGGCACAAAAAGCTATCATTCTTGCTACCTGAAAGCCTGAATTAGTCGGCAGAAAATTCTTCTAAGAATGATGATTAGTCCAAGAATGATTCACCATTTTTTGAGAAATGTTCGACAATGTGATTCACCGGAGCCGACCCAAGAAATGACGCAGCATTGCCACTCGGGATACACTGCAGGATGCTGTGAAGAATCTGAGGTAAAGGAAAAAAAAAACTTCAGAACGGCATATGCTCAGCAATTCGAAAAAGTTGCATAGTCATGTCTTTTGTTAAATTTTCCTACTGTGTCTCGATTATTTATACAGCAGTATTTGTAAATAAATAAAAAAATTAATTGAACCACAAGCTCTTCATACTTTTAGGCTTGCGGAAAAAAACACCAATGTTGAAACCTCTTGAAAATAATTTCTTAAACCGATGAGAGAAACGATGCACGTACGGCATGAGAACACATTTTCTGGGGTTATTATGAACCTTTCTCATTTCAATCGGATGAAATTTACACTTCTTGAGCAGCGTCTGACACAATGCCGACACAAGCGCACGCACAGGAAACACCGCATTTCTTGACGAACAATCTGTTGCCGAAAGCCAACAAGACATTTCTACGCGCAGGACTTTTTGAGGGCTAGAATAGTATTGACAGTCGTGCAACAGCTAGGGAGGTTCATTTTGCCCACTCGTCAAAAATTTAGGGGACTTTAAAGCTTCGCCTTTAGGAGTTGAACGCGATAGCAACATCCTGTTCCTAGTGCATACTTCAAACACTTAGTGCATGAAACCTTTTCGAGCCTGCTATGCACCCACTACGTGGGCCTTAAGGGAATAGGCACAGTAGCGTGTGTGGCTTTTGTAGTGGGTGACTGGCTTTAAACCGTGAAGCCACTACGATAACATGTTCTGATGCCCACTGGCAATGGGTGCTTGTACCACGTATTATTACTACAATATTTCATGTTGCATTGTGAAGCATGTATACAGGATGCGTGTGTTTGTAAAGCATGAAAGTTACTTTAACTGCATTTCCAAACAGAGGAAGTACTTTTCATTGTATTCACAAGCAGACACGTGGCCGTGTGGTAGAACAGCCGCTTGCCACGCAATCGACCCGGGTTCCATCCCCATTCGAATCCAAATCACCTTTGTTCAATCCCAACTCTGACCCAGGATTTTTTTACAAGTCATTTTTGTATGGTTACCAATTTTTAGGTCACCCATAAGATGATTTTTCGCTCACAACCAACGACGCCGACATCAACGTTGACACTGACACCGACACCGAAATTCCTGCGAAATGAGCTCTTTAATGCTATCACATTAGTAATTTTAATCAAGCAATGAACGATGTGTCAAAACAGAAACCGAAACAGGGAGTTGCTCCCTCGTACATGATGGGTATTAATGATGTCACGACATTCACATCTGATGAAGCCCCCAAATCCGCTACACACTGCCAAAGTTGGCCATACCTCACTTTCCTCTTTTGGCGTGTGAAAAGCAGGTTGACAATGTCAGCGTACTCCACAACCCGAGCCTCAAGACACAGCTCGGGGCCATACAACGAGCTGAAGAGGTGGTGGCCAGACACAGCCTGACCACTTGATCACTTGGTGAAAACTACTCTTTTGACATAAATAAAGTTGTTTTTCTCTGTCTCTCTTCAATGCGTAATCAAGCTGTGCCAACTCGTCTGAACTTGCCAATGACAACAGCGATGATTGCAGCTGCTATCCGAGTGCGGAAGCGTTGCCTTTTGATTTTGACTCGCCGGTGCGTAAAGCATCCGACGTGCCCCGAATCGATTTTCTTGTTGCTCAATATTGTGCATACTTACCCTCGTATTCAGAAATGCCCCTTGACTTGAACTCGACTTGCCACTGCCTTTGATGCAGCACCGATGCGTTTGAAATGCGCATTGAAGGTGTTGGTAAGTCAAGTTCAAGTCAAGCAGCGTTTCTGAGTACGGGGGTCAGTGTAAGACCCAATGTCAACGATGACTAACACGCTGTATTCATCTGACAAACTGAACTGTCCTCGAGTTGTCATCGCCTCATAGAAGAAAGCGCGCGCTGCAACCGTCTGCTGGGCAAGGCGGGGCTTTGAAAAAGAGTAAGCACTTATGTCACATACACAGGGTGGCCCACGTTTATAAGTGTGATTCCAGAATCAGCTACCAATTTTTAAAATTGATTTTCCAAACTTACCGGTTGTATAATTTGGCACATATTACCATGGTACTGATGAGAACATTTGTTCAAAGTTTTATTGAAAGTAAAGAATATTGCCGCGCGCTTGATCTGCCAGCGCAAAAGAGGCAGACGAAGTGGCAGTTCCCCTCGTGCCTTTGTTCTGTTTTTGGCTGCGCTGAGCCGACCGCTCTTCGGACTTTTGTGAGGACGCCTTAAAAACGTCTCCTGTCTCTTTAACGTGACATTTTAATGGTGGAGGTGCTGGGTAACCTCACCTATGCAACAGACTCCTTCTAGCAGCCGGAACGTGACCCAAAACCCAGAGCTTACGCCGGTACACCGTTTCAGTCGGAGGATTCGAGGACTGTCCCCCGAGTTTGTGCCTCACAGTACAAGTACGTCGACTGGTATGGAGAATACTGTTGCTGTCACCGCTTCCCTACCGCTGGAGCCGCCGCTGCTCCAACCGCTGCACCCGCAGCTGCACCCACTCATTACACGCTACAAAAACCACGTGTTCCGAGTCCCTTTCGTGGTGGCCTCTATGAAGATGTGGAAGATTGGCTGGCTGAGTACGAGTACGTAGCGGATTTCAACGGGTGGGACGAAGTAGCGAAGCTCAAGAATGTGTACTTTAGTCTTCTGGATGGTGCTCGCACATGGTTCCAGAACCGCAAGGGCCTCCTAACGTCGTGGCATGAGTTCTGTCACAGGCTCCGCGAAACGTACTCGAGTCTCGATCGTCGAGAGCGCGCTGAAAGGGCCCTCCAGTCCCGCATGCAGATGCCTAATGAAGGTGTGGCTACATACGTGGAGGATATGGTTCATCTGTTCACTCGCGCTGATCCAACCATGCCGGAAGACAAGAAGCTGCGACACTTGATGCGAGGTGTGAAAGAGCAGCTCTTCGCTGGACTCATTCGTAGTCCGCCTAGAACGGTCGCGGAGTTCCTCACTGAAGCCGTCGCCATGGAAAAGGCGCTGCAGCAGCGGAACCAGTACGATCGGCAAGTGAATGCTACCTATACCACCGGGCTAGGCTCGTTCCCGACCGACGTGGGAGCGCTTCGCGAGCTGATACGTTCGGTTGTTCGCGACGAGCTACAACAGCTGCAACAGCTGAACCAGGCGCAGCAGCAGCCTTCCACGAATTGCATCGCCACCATCATACGTGACGAAGTTCAGCATGCGCTCGGCACACCTCGCCGCGAGACACCAACGCAGGTTGCTGCACCACTTCAGGCGTTCGCAACTTCAAGTGAACCTCTAGGGGTGACCTACGCAGACGTATTGAGACGCACCGTTCCGTCGTCCATGACACCATCCCAGTGAGTGGTTTCCAGCGCACCACTTATACCGACACGTTCGAACACAACGCACCTGCACCAGTCCCACTACCAGCCGCAACCCCGTACGCCACACTGCAGTCCGCACAGGTGGTCCCTTATTTTGCAGACACTCGACCCGTCATGCGTAAATCCGACATATGGCGCATGCCCGACCGACGACCGCTTTGCTACCACTGCGGTGAAGCGGGTCACCTCTACCGAGACTGCCAGTACCGCCGACTTGGGCTGCAGGGTTTTCCTGCCAATTCACCCCCGCCCCCGGTTTGGACAGAGACCACCAGAAATTGAAGATTTTATCGCTCGGCAGAACGTCCCACTCAGGCGTCAGTCGCGCTCACCGTCACCGCGGTCGTCATCTTATTCAGGCAACGGAAATCGAAGGCCGCAAGGACGGTCTCCGAGCCCTCGCCTGGAAAACTAACGCCAGCGACCTTTCGAGGCGAGGCCGCTGATTCTCGACGTGATGAAGACCTCGCCCTCCAATCGACGCGACATCGGACCAACGGAAATTCGACTACGCCGGCGCCTGTATCCCAGCTGAGCGACTTTTCAATGGACATACCTGTGCTGCTCGACGGTCGCAATTTAACTGCCTTAATAGACACTGGTGCTGACTACTCGATTATTAGCGGACAATTGGCACGTACCTTGAAGAAAGTGATAATGCCTTGGACAGGATCGCATGTACGTACAGCTGGCGGACATGTTGTAACGCCGGTTGGTTTGTGCACGTCCAGGCTACAAATACGAGGCTGCACGTTTTTGGTCAGCTCCATCGTGCTACGTGACTGCTCCCGCGAATTAATTCTCGGCCTCGATTTCTTCGGGAATATGGCGCCGTAATCGACCTACGGCGACGCTGCATTTCCTTTTCGACAGTCAACGCTACGTCAAGGGACTCCAACCGCCGTACAACCGCCCTCCGTGTTTCCGACGACAGTGTCACAATACCACCTCGTGCAAGTATCCTAATTCAGGTGACTTCCGAAGGAACCAGTGACGGTGAAACAGTGGCAGAGTGCAACGTCTCCCTGCTGCTGGCGCTTGGAATTTCTGTGGCACGAGGCATCATTGACATTCGGAACGGTACAGCCGAGGTCATGATTACAAATTTCACCAATGAGCATCGTCACCTTTTCCGGGGCACTGCGGTCGCCTACGCTGAAGCCTTGGAGGACGTCATTGAGTGTTTTGCCTGTGAAGACAGTAGCCGCAATGGACAAACCGTAATAGATGTTGACATGAACAGTGCACTGCCAGAAGAGAACCAGAGGGCCTTGCGAGAACTATTGTTTGAATTCAGGGCGTGCTTTGCTCAGTCGTCTAAAGTGAGTCAGACGCCAATTACACAGCACAGGATAATCACTTACGACGACGCAAGACCTATTCACCAACAGCCATACCGCGTCTCGCCGACAGAACGCGCAGCTATCAAGCAGCAAGTGAAAGAAATGATCGACGACGGCGTTATCCAGCCTTCGAACAGTCCCTGGTCCTCACCGGTCGTTCTGGTTAAGAAGAAGGACGGTACGCTTCGCTTCTGTGTAGATTACAGAAAGCTCAACAACGTCACAAAAAAAGATGTTTATCCGCTGCCGCGTATTGATGACTCGCTTGACCGACTACGACGAGCGAAGTATTTTTCTTCCCTGGATTTAAAGAGTGGCTACTGGCAAATTGAGGTTGATGAGCGCGACCGCGAAAAAACCGCCTTTGTCACGCCGGATGGCCTCTACGAATTTCGGGTGCTACCGTTCGGACTCTGCTCTGCGCCAGCTACCTTCCAACGCATGATGGACACTGTGTTGACTGACTTAAAATGGCAAAGCTGCCTTGTGTACTTGGATGATGTGGTCGTGTTTTCAACCAGCTTCTCCGAACATCTGAAGCGACTACGACAAGTACTTGAGGCGATTCGGACGGCTAACCTTACGTTAAAGCCGCAAAAATGCCATTTCGGTTACGAAGAACTAAAGTTCCTTGGACATGTCGCAAGCGCAGAAGGCGTCCGTCCTGACCCTGAGAAAACCGCCGCTGTCGCAGCCTTCCCGACTCCTGCCGATAAGAAAGTGTGCGGCGGTTTCTTGGTCTATGCGCGTACTACCGGCGCTTTATAGGCAATTTTTCGAAAATTGCCGAACCATTAACTAGACTCACTAGAGACGATACGCCGTTCGTTTGGAGTGCTGAACAAGAATCAGCATTCACAGAGCTTCGGCTTCGCCTGGCATCACCACCTGTTCTTGGACATTTCGACGAGGAAGCCGAAACAGAAATTCATACCGACGCCAGTAACGTCGGTCTGGGCGCGGTACTCGTCCAACGGCAGGAGGGAATTGAAAAGGTTATCGCCTACGCAAGCCGAACCCTAACACGCCCGGAGTCAAACTACAGTACCACGGAGAAGGAGTGCCTTGCTGTCGTGTGGGCAATTGCTAAGTTTCGACCTTACCTTTACGGCCGTCCATTCAGAGTAGTGACGGATCATCACTCGCTGTGCTGGCTTGCGAACCTCAGAGACCCCTCCGGACGACTGGCAAGGTGGAGCCTACGTCTGCAGGAGTACGACGTCACTATCGTGTACAAGTCCGGTCGTGCACACGAAGATGCGGACACGTTGTCACGCGCGCCAGTTGAGCCTGCCGCTCAGAGCTTCGAAGAGGACTGCCCTTTCCTTGGCTCCGTAAGCGTAACAGACTTGGCTTTACGGCAGCGAGCAGATGCTCAATTCCGACCTATCATTGAACATCTAGAGGGCCGCAACGTATCACTGCCCCAGCATATAACTCGCGGATTGTCATCCTTCTGCTTACGACAGGGCGTGTTGTACAAGAAGAACGCAGCCGCCAGCAACAAAACTTACCTGTTGGTCGTCCCCGCAGAGCTGCGTGAGGAAATTCTATTTGCCTGCCACAACGAGCCTCCATCGGGCCATCTGGGCATCACCCGAACCATCGCTAGGGTACGAAAGTCTTACTACTGGCCGAAACTTGCCGCTTGCGTTAAACAGTACGTTCAAGCCTGCCGCGAATGCCAGCGCCGAAAATCCCCATCTGTTAAGCCTGCGGGATTACTTCACCCTATCGAGCCACCCAGAACACCCTTCGATCAAGTCGGCATGGACCTCCTGGGTCCGTTTCCCTTGTCATCTTCCGGCAACAAGTGGATAATCGTCGCTACAGATTATCTAACCCGCTATGCTGAAACTAAGGCGCTTCCTAAAAGCACGGCTTGTGAAGTTGCTCAGTTTTTCATCGAGAGAATTGTATTACGCCACGGTGCTCCATCCTGTGTCATCACAGACCGAGGAACAGCGTTTACAGCAAGGCTCCTTGAACAAGTTTTTCAGTTAAGTTACTCCACGCATCGCAAGACAACAGCGTATCACCCTCAGACAAATGGACTGACCGAGCGGCTTAACAAAACGATGACTGATATGCTGTCTATGTACATAGACGTACAGCACAAGACGTGGGATGAAATACTGCCTTACGTAACATTCGCGTATAATACCGCTACGCAAGAGACCACACGATTCACTCCGTTTCGTCTTCTATACGGTCGGGACGTTCAGACGATGTTGGACGCAATGCTCCCATGCGACATTGACAACATCGAGAATCTCGACGAAGATGCTGAGTGTTTCGTGCAACGAGCCGAGGAAGCACGTCAACTAGCCCGCGTAAACATCAAGAAACAACAAGGCGTCGATGCACAGCGCTACAACCGCTGCCACAGACAAGTCGATTATAAACCAGGTGACCAGGTGTTGGTTTGGACCCCTGTGCGCTGCAAAGGTCTCTCTGAGAAGCTTCTCAGTCGGTATTTTGGCCCGTACAAAGTGCTACGACAAGTGAGCGACGTCAATTACGAAGTCCTTCCGGACCGAAGCCAACCACCCCGACGCCGACAGCTACGACCCGAGATTGTGCACGTGGTGCGGTTAAAACCGTACCACACACTGTGACAATGTTTTTTTTTTTACGATACACGCTTCGTTTAGCATCGAGGCGATGCTCTTCAGGGAGGAGGGGCAGTGCCGCGCGCTTGATCTGCCAGCGCAAAAGAGGCAGACGAAGTGGCAGTTCCCCTCGTGCCTTTGTTCTGTTTTTGGCTGCGCTGAGCCGACCGCTCTTCGGACTTTTGTGAGGACGCCTTAAAAACGTCTCCTGTCTCTTTAACGTGACAATATCGAGAAATCGTCAGAGTTCCTCTTTAAGGGTACAGCTGCCTCTAGCTCCTGCATCTATTTCACCATAACAACGCATGCTTGCGTCACAGCAAGGACAATTTTTGGATTGACGTATGGGGGCTTGTATTATCAACTATTCCCCTCGATTTCTGTGTCCCCTATCGCAAGAAATAAGAAAAAGAAAATCAGAAAATAAAGAACACCAAGGACACAATGGGATTCGAAGCCAAAGCCGCTGCATGCCCACCCAGTATTCTACCACCGAGCCACGCTGGTGCTTGGAAATAGTTTTAAACTGGCCTGAGGCAGGCTTGATGCTGGGAAAGGAATCACGTCAATATGAGTAATAAAGTGTTTTAGAAGATCAAAGGAACAACCAAGCATAACACAATACGAATAGTGTGATGAGTGGGTGGTCCAATACTCCAACCCATTATAAAACTTGTTTTTAATCCTCTATTAACTGTGGCGCATACCCACTTCAGGCATAATTCATCATCATCAGCTACTGTATAAAAAAGATTGCACAAGATTCCTAGCAAGTGTGTAGCGGATACCACGATTCTCCGAAGAATGACGAAGGATAGCATAGTGAATGCTGGCATACTACACAAAAATTATGATTATGTATGACGTAGTGGGTGTCCAGCAAGTGTGCTTGTAACAGTTACTCGAAGAGTGTTTAGAAAAGGCTCTGAAAAGCTGCTCTTCTAGCTTTTGCTGTGACTGTGCTGCGTGTCTCGTGCAGGTTTGGCGTTTTCTGATTGTTTCGTTGCGATGGGCTACAATAATCACATACACAGCGAAATTCAAGCTCGCATTCGAAAATGGGAACCATGCCACTGCCAAGACCTTCTGAGTGAAGTTTTCGATGTGACCATCAGTATGGAAGAAAGCCGAAGAGAGCACGCATGCTAATACACAAGTTTCCTGCCATTGAAAAAGTCCTTTTCAACTATGAGCAAAAAGTTAATCTTTCGGTATCGCCGCGTTTGGAGACTTGGTTTCTCCCAGTGTTGTCAAAAAGAGATTCGAACACATTCTACGGCACCAAGAACGATTCACTTTGGAAGGGCGATGACAGCAGTCGCAACAATTCACAATCACACCTCTCAACTAGTGATTCCGACAAGACAGCACGAGACCATATCTCGCTAGTTAAAGTATGTGCTAATTGTGTCAAATAAAGTACACTTAGTTTTTGCTCAAATATATTATCTTTATTTATATATTGCACAATGTAGGACTATATACTATTACACTTTAGTTTGGATGTGTTTATGAAATCTCCGTGTAATTTACGCACCCGTTTTTTGGAGCTCCAAAACTGTGACAAAGAGTGTGCGAATTATGCGGGTAAATACAGTACATATCGAGCACAGAGATGCTCTTACATTTTGCTTCTGTCGAAAGGGAGGTGCCGTTGATTAAAATTAAACCCGTGCCTAAGAGGCTATACGTAACCGCGCCACAACGTGACCACTAAAGTACCACTGTGGTAAATGTACAAGCCAAAGTTTCCATCCGACTGCTTGCTACAAAGGGCATAGCACTGAATCAACAAATTTCTTCCAGCATGTCTAGGTCAGACCTAGCCTTGATGAAACTTAATGGTGAATGTTTGTGCCTAGGCTGAGCACAAACTTGATACAGTGAGCTCATGCCAGGCGCGGCCTGTGCTAGATCACGTACACCCGTGCTAAGCCCAGACTTCAAATTCAGGCCCGTACCATGCTCTAGCCCATGTCTATGCTGACAAAGACCTCTACGACATTCACCATACTACTACGCAAGGCACTTTTTAAATTCAACCTCTTACCTCTGTGTAGGATAATGAAGGGTTGAATCCATTGACAGTAACACTAGCATAGTCAGCCAGCACAGCTTCCTTGAAATTTCGAAGAAGTTTAAGTTTCGAGCCAGGCCCGTGAAGAAGGATTGTGAAGCCTTCCCTTAAAGAAAAGAACAATAGTATGATGCTACACAAGCGACACATGCTCCAGAGCATAACATCCCAAAGGTAAGGCAGTGCAGCTATGCCAAAAGAAAAAAAAAGATACCAGCTTTCAATGCATGGACTAATGCTGAAGGCGAGATTCAAGAGAGCAATGACACATATTTTCAATGCCATAAAAAATCTACCGTGAGATTTCATCACAAGTAAAAGGACTACACTGAACAAGTATGTCAGTTCGGAATCACACAGGTCTCGCACTAAAACCAACCTCAAAATGCTAGATCTGGCATTTCTGACAAAGCATGATTTCATGACGACAAAGTTCGCAGCTGTTGTTATACATAATGCCAAGTAAAATAATCAGCCATAAAAAGTTTTGAAAGGTACTCGGGGCATTTCTGCAGGCATGCAGCCATCACTGGAATGAAGGACACCATCACGCCTTATAATCATAAAACTAAGCCGAGTTAGAGGAAACAAGTACCACAGTAAAGTATTGAGAGCTCTATGATGACATGCAGTGCTTATTTTTGATGGTTTAGACATTTGGGACCTTCCTTTAACATAGGGAAGTGACAAACTGGAACAGTACCTCTAACACATGACCAATTTTTCAAGCGGTATTTGGCGAAGAGTGATGAAAATCACAAATAAAAGCTTGAATGTCAATGCCATCTTCTGCATGGGCTACCTACCTATACTACACTTATTTATATACAAGGTGTTCCAGCTCAAAAGCAACAAAGAATAAAAAATTAAAAATGAGTCCTATGCATCTCCAACTAGCACGATATTGTTCTTAGCTGTATGTGGAATGTCGGAATATTTCTTTTTATCTTCCAAGCTCAGTAATTAAAAAAATGTTTAATGACCTTTCTAAACATAGACTCTAGAAAAAATTTCAAAACAAAAGTTGTAGCCCTTCTCCAAAAATAACAAGATTTTCAATTTACGGTAAAATAACGACGAGGGTTAATTTTGTTCCAGCGTTTGTTTAAAGTGCGCAAAATTCAAAAATACCTTGTGATGGCCGGCTAAATGTGTGGTGCTTTTAGTGCCCTCAAATGTAAGCTGAATGAATTAGCAAGGGCTTCTCACGGCCGAAAGTTGCTTGAACAGGCTATCGGTGATTACAATGAACGTTAAGCGATGATTGGTTGATTAAAAAAGAAATACCGAAGACAATAAACTTCAACGATTGATTGATTGATTTGTGGGGTTTAACGTCCCAAAACCACCATATGATTATGAGAGACACCAAAAAAAAAAGAAACAACAATCAACTTCATCGAAAAAGTGGCCACCACATGCAATGAGATAGGACACCGGAGGCAGCATTAGGCACGGCGCAGTCTTTTTTTTCTTTCTTTTTTTCGAGCCAAAAATGAACATGATGGAGGTGTAGAAGGTGACATTTTGATAAAGGATATAAAAAGCCCGCTGGGAATATGTGGCAGCTGCTTTTTCTTTGAAGTTGATTGTTGTTTCTTCCTTTTCCTTTTTTTCAACGGTAACATCCAGCCATCGCTTAACGTCCATCGGGGTCACTGATAGCCTGTTCATGCGACCTTCGTGCGTGAGAAGCCTTTGCTACTTCGTAGAACTTAAATTTAAGGGACCTAAAAGCGTCGTGCAATAGGCGGCAATCACATGGTATTTACTTAATTTCACGCACTTTGAATAAATGCCCGAAGAAATTTAATTGTCTTAATGTAAATTGAAAATTTCATTATTTCTGGATGAGGGTTACTAGATTTGTAGGAAAAATTTTTCTCTAAAGCCAGTATTTAAAGATATTTAGTTCATTAGGCAATTTTATTTGTTACTATGCTTGGCAGATAAAAAAATTGTCTGACGTGCTACATACAGCAACTAACAATGTTGCACTACTCATTTTTAATTTTCATTGCTTGGTGCTTCATAGCTGAGACCACGTAAGTTGAGGAGGTGCATTTATGCATGAAGATTACACCATAAATTGAAATTCAATTGCGCCATGCACTGTAGTGGCCAAATCAAGCTCAACAACAATTTTAACATCTCGAGTGCCTGTAAATGTAGGCTGAACAGCACTTATTGTAGATAAGCTCTGTGCAAACTCGCAAGGTGGCGGAAGGGTTAAGACAACCACCCGTGATAAAGCACAAAGCTACAAGGAATCACAGATTTCCTTGTGGCTTCATGCCACAAACAGGTGGCTGCCTTTTCTTTTTTGAGCAGCACTTACCATAAAAGATATATATATATCGAATTTTATTTGATGGAAGATGCAAGGAGTACAAAAATGGGCAGATCCCACGCACCGTGGGAGCAAATGTAATGCAAACCAATCAGTGAGGAGGACCTGCACAGTCAAAATAATCATGACCACAGGAGTGTGTGGCAAGCGGCGCCTTCTGACAACAACTTGCAAAGCTCAAGAGTGCTAGCTGCACATCCTTTTTTACCTGCTTAGTGTGAATGCCACAACAAGCAAAAGGTGCCACTTCTGCGGCAGCCGTGCAAGCACTGAGCAACCTAATCATGATGAAAATACAGAACTTGTACTGACGATGCTCAAGGCGTGCCACACTACAGATTATTAAGGGTTGTTACGTGGCTTACAAGACATGCTTTGCCTCAGTTTTTCTCATGTCAACATATGTGATAAAATTATTCAGCAGACTTATTCGTGGAACACAATCAGGCATGCTGCAACTTCTTGTACTGCTCGGAGCTAGTATTGTGCTCTCATTCATAAGCACAATAAATAAGAAACAAAGCTACAAGAAAATACGCATGTATTAAACAAAAACAACACTGAAAAAAAATTGTCTTCCATTCCTGATCACGACGAAGTTCTCGTCAAACAGAAATATTTTCAATCAGGCAAATTACTCAGTGGTTCCGCAGCGACTACGTAGGCATCGCCTCACGTTATCTCTGGTATTATGGTGCATGCGTACTTGAGGTGAGCGAACGAGTCGGTTGGCAGGCAATACAGAACGCACGTGTGCAGTGCACACTCTCGAGCTTTTCAAACAGCCATAAGAAGGCATCGCAGTGCATTTTGCCATGCGCTCCCGTGGTATTTAATATTCTAACTGCCACTGTACACACTCCACTCTTTGGCTTTGAGACAAATCAAGGAACTCATGTGATGACATGTTATTTACCATCGCAAGTTTGTCATGCATGCATGTACACACCACGCTAATGAAACAACCATGACACGATAGTCATGTCACGACCTAGCAGTCGTGTTTGTCACACACCAATGTCATTCCATGCCAACTTTCATATTTATCAAGATAAGGAAGTGGCCATGATAGCACAAAGACCATGTCATGTATGTCATGACACACTTGACAAGCATAACATAATGTACTTGTCGTGACCTATCATTTATCTTTATCATACACTGGTGTCATATCACGCCACTTGTCTTATATTGCCACACTCCTTCCTCAAGTGTTGTTATCACCCTTTTACACTGCAAGTAATTCTCAGCATAAACCGTGCCTGCAGTATTTAAGAACCTTCAGGACTGTAGTAGATAACTTTGTCAAGATTACATGCACAATGTGCACAATACAGATAATTCGGGAATCTACGTGGCTGCTAGCGATAGCACTGGAATATTCGGCGGCACATGTATAAATGCCGACACGCTTCACCGCTTGTCAGTCAATAGGCGGCTGACGCTCTGTTTGCCTCTATCAGTGCCAGTGTGTATCGCTGTAATCTGCCTTTGCATTGTAGTGACACGTATCCCGAAGGAGTACGGCCACTAGCGTGGGTCCAATCTTAGCGAGCCGCAGGGCACGCGTTAACTGTCGCCGTGGCGAGAACATGATACTGCTCAAGGTCGCAACACTTTATTGTCTGTGGCAACACCAAAACACAGTACAGCCCATTGCAAAGGCGCGGCTGGAAAGCAGATGGGCTTATCCATGCCACTGGTGCGAAGTACCACACAGGGTGCCACGAGCGTGTCTCCGTGGTAAAAGTGATTCACGGAGACACCGGGACCAAGGCCCGGTTGCTCGAGCGAGAGCAAAGGTGCTCGTGTTGGCTTCAGAGAGATACAGGTTGGCGTAGCCTGGCCGCGCACTAGGAACCCGCACCACTCTTCGACCTAGCGTTCGGAAATGGGGGCGGCATAAAATAAGCGTTCGCCGCGAGCGCAAGGTGCTGTTGGCGAAGTCCGAACGAGTCCCACAGGGAGCTGACGGATGGAAAAGAAAAGCGTGCTTAGCCCCATGTCGTCCTCAGAGAGGTCTCTCCCTACTCCTGACGCGCACGCGCAAGACCTCTTGGGAGACTCTGCGGGCGGCGCCACAGTCGACATCCGCTACCAGGTGAGAGGAGTTAAACGTCACTCCGCTCTCCCAGCGCGGCAGACACGAAGGAGGGGAGTCATGTCGGGACATAAGAACGGAGAAAGACGCGGCAAAGCCCGCGCGAAGGCAGCGGGCTTGTCTCAATTCCCACAACATTCACCAGCCACAAGTTCAGCCTAATGAACAGTTTCACCTTGGAGCTACAGTCTGCTTCCTTCATTCCCTCACGACCCTGTGGCATCTCGTAAAGGTGCTTCTTTGCTCATGTACTGTGCACCCCCCTCCAGCCTCGAGCCGAGCCCACACCGTCAAGGGGACAATCGACACCAATGCTGAGCAGCGAGCCAGCCGAAGCAGCAAGAAGACGGCCCATACTCCCACCAGAGTATGGGCCTCTAGCTGAACCGACCCTGAAAACTAAAACCTTGACCTCTAAAGCTAAAACCGTGACACCATACAGCGACGATGGCAGCCTTTCTGACACCTGCACCCATTCTGCTCCGGCAACCCGAAGAGCAAACGAGGTTCCATGGTTCAGCACTCGAAGAACTGGAAAGGTGACTCGAAGCGTACGACCTTGTGGCTATTTTCAACACCTGGAGCAATAACAAAAAGCTAGAGCATGTCTATTTTGCCTTGCAAGACACCGCCAGGACGTGGTATGAGAACCAAG